CAAGACATCAAAGAAGCCGAACCTTCCCTGCGCTCGGCACCAAGTGCGAGGAAAGAAGATGAAGACAGAGTGGAGGGAGAGGGAGAGAGATAGAGAGAGAGCATGTCAAGATGGGGAAGAGGTGAGTGCAAACAAAGCAAGGTTGTTTCATACACTTGAAAGAATTGAAGGAAAGAACATGGTCATGCTCAAAACAGAACGTCCTGCGTTCAGATACCTCATTTTAGTTTGTGTTGGTTTGAATCGCACGTGGAAGATTGCCTCTTGTATGTTATCATGCAGTGTGACTTGAGTTTTATTTGCTCAATCAGTACTTAAACTCAGGCTGACAGTGAGATAGTTGTGTCTTTAGTAGTGTTTAGCTCACTTGGATCGATACCAGCGAACCAAACCCTCCCCTGAGGAGTTGTCTCTGAAAACAAACAAAAAGAATATAGCAATTAGTAAAAGGAAAACGTTTTATAAGCTGCTGAACACTAATCTTTTATCAAAGAATCAACTGGGATGATCCGTTCCAACCTCGAAGAGAAACGGGATATAAAAGGTTTCAAAGAATACAAAATACAGACAAGCTGATTTTTGATTGTTTGACAGACGATGACGATTGGTGCTTGATGATGGCTGAACAGCTCACCACACTCAACTCCGCGACTGCTCAGAGCCTTGAGAGGTCCCTCCACCTCCCAGCCGTCTCTCACTCCCCGCCATCCTGCTCCCTCGACTGCGAGCCTCTCGTCGACCCCAACGTCGCTGTGGACGCTCTTGCTGTAAGGCTGGAGCCTCGTCGCAAGCGAGCCAAGTACATCAACAACTCGTGCTCCGAGTGCCGTCAGAAGAAGCGCAAGTGCAGCAACGTGCGGCCCTGCGCCATGTGCATCATAGCCGGGACGAGCGCTCAGTGCCTGGCAGAGTCAGATACGTCGACGCTCTACGCGCAGATCTGCGACCCCAAGGAGACGTGGTTCCAAAGCGTGGAGGACCAGGAGATCTCGCTGGAGTCGCTCAGGCATGCGTGCTTGCAGGTCGGCGTCAACATCACCATCGTGCGCGTCCTGTGGGAGCTGGGGCTGAGCGCGTCGACTTTGTTCAGAGCGTTCAAGATCCTGCCGCTGGATCTGAAGACATCGATGGACGAGGCGATCGACAGGGTGAGGCACATCATGTCGGACAAGTCCAAAGTCCTCCCGGACTACAAGGCTGTGCTGTGCCGACAGCATGCGTACGGGAGGCTCAGTAACTATGGTCAGAACCTCCCGAGCGATGACGTGGGGTTGGCAGTCGCCAAGCAGGAGCGGGGCGTGGTAGAGGAGTTTGAGCGAGTAGCGTGCAACGAGTACTGGGGGCATGGGCGCTGGTTGTCTATGGAGATTAACAGGGAGAATCTTCTATGCAAGCGGATGAAGCTGGGAGACGAGATAGCAGAGCTGCTGGGGTTTCACCACACGGAGATCCTGTGCCGCCACTCGAACCGAGACATGCTGCTGCAAGTGAGCGAGTACGAGATTCTCGTCACGATCATCAACCTGCTGTGTCAGTCGTTCCATCGCGAGGTGACGTGGTACTGGCGGATGATGCATGGAGCGCGGGGAGGGAGCGAGGGAGGGGTGACCCACCTCAAGTGCACCCTACACAAGATGTTTGATGATCAAGGGCGGCAGTATGGGTACACGATCACGTTTGACGTGACGTCGCTTGAGGAGTACGAGCAGTTCAAGAACCGATACCTTCCGCCGGGGATGCGAGCAAACCCCAGCGACAAGAGCCGGGATGAGCAGATGACGGAGGAGTCGCTCATGTACCTGAGGAAGTCAAGGACGGCAGGGGCGGAGAAGCTTTCCTATCTTGCAAGGCTGGTGCGGAGGTGGACGACGGAGGGAATCATGCCGTGAGGGCCCGGGATGGTTTTACCGCTCAGGTGTGACTCGATGCAATGGTTTTGTGTCTTGAGTTGACTTGACTGGATGCTTTTCGCAGATTTGTTGGTGATGACTGAGCCATGGTTGTCACAGAGTCAGCCGCTTGTCTATCAGGCTGCCACCGGTGGTCCTCCTAACGCGGCCGTTGAGGCCTTGTAATTTAAAGAATAAAGGTTATGTGTCAGGCTATTCTATGGCCCGGAAGCTCACCGTCCGATCCGATCACTGAGTCAATCATTCGGCGGGCCGCTTTGTCACCGGGCGTTGAAACGACCGGGCCTCAGCCTCCGGTCGTTTCAAAAACAAAACTTGGAAACACTTTCAGTGCCACGGTGACTCATCAATCCGAATGGTCCGACCACATACCGCGATGATTGATCGGACTCCTGAGTGAAACGAACTGGAGCACCGGCGACGGTCGGCCGGGCCCGGCGGTCACTGCGAGTCACACAGTGACTGTCCGAGCCACCGTCCGATCCCGGACCGTCCGACTGAGCCTCGGAGCCGGGCGGCCCGGCCTGCCCGGCCCCGCCGCTTTGCCTTCTTCGGCCCATGCCGCCGTGACTACGGTCCTTTTTTGTTGACAGTGGTCAACTCCGATCGGCCGCCGCTTCACGAAAGAGTCTGATTCTGATTAGTCACGGAGTGGTTGTCAGCTGCATCCGTCATCCATGGTTGTAAGTCATTCGTTTAAAACAAAACTTTTAGCTCAAATCAGGCATATGCTTGAAATCATGTCATATGGACTCCTGCCCGAAGAAGATGGTGTGATTTATTGTTCCTTGTAAGGCCTTGATGACTGACCTCGTGATAGGCAGAGGGTCTTACAGGCCCTTCAACCAGAAGAGATGTGTTCAGGTACTCAGGGTATAGACATGTGTAATTTACATTGGAAGAGACTCGATGAATTTCACATCTACTCATGGAGTCCACAAGCATTTCCAAGCTGATGGCTCATGACTTGAGACCGCAAAATTTACTACACGGAGATGGATCCCGTGGAGAGCGACCGTTCTATCGAACCATCGGACACCCTGCCTTTACAACACAAAGCAAAACCGACCACAGGGACGTCAAACTCCGCGATCCCTCCCACAAGCAGAGAGCACACACGCTCGATACATCATAGCTCTACACCAGTCTGCCGTGGTTCCTGTCAAGCGAGAATTGTATGACAGAAGATGATGATACAAGAAACCAGCTTTCAGTTTGAGCGACGCAAAAGCATACCCGCACTGAACTTGAACGAACTGCAGCGAAAATATCTCCAAAATGCGTGCAAGGAACTTATCACAAGCGTGAACAGCAAGAAAGATCAGTGTTACAGAAGTCTCATCTCTACCGACTCTAAGAAAGTGCTTGTTGTTTCGAACGGGAGCGATTGCCTGAAGAATGTAATGAGGGCAAGACACCAATCCTCAACTCGTTCGGAAGACAGCATGGAAATCGATTGAATGTTCTCTTGGAGCCTGTACAGCATAGATATTTGTAAATAATACGCTCTAGTAAAGTCCTGATGAACTCAAATTGGATGTATGGACATGCCAACACACGCACAGCTTGATGAGATTTGAACCTCACTGTCCTGACTAACTCGTAGCTACTTGCGTCGAATCATATTCTTCTTGCATCCACAGCGTAAATACGATGCTTTGATGGATGTAGATGCTTTTGACAATCAGCATGGCACGTCTATCGCAGTCAATGTGAGGAGTTCCTGTCTGAATGGTTTCAGATTTGATTGATAGGTTTCCAAACGTGTAGCAGCGATGACTACTTCACTTGCGATGCAGGTCTAGACTAACCTGGTATTGAGCATGCAGTGTGCACACACCCGTTGGAATGAAGAGCCTGACCCTCTCACAGGCGCAGCCTTGGAAAGTCGCACTATTGATTGAGCTCCTTGCTCCATGGGACAATCGTCTTAGCCTCTGGAGCTGGAGCTCCTCATAAGTTTCTGCTTCTCCCTGTCATCCTACTCTCACTGTCATGCTACGTCACCACTGAGCACTTAGGCGCAGTCACGGGAGGCCCGCGGTCCGAGGCTGGTCGGAGTGCTACGGTGACGAACTGCGGCCCATGATGCTTCTGTACGGGCACAACTCGATCTGTCAAGTTGAAGAGACTGGCAGCTTTCTAAGACAACGTTCACGGCAGTTGATCCTCGAGTCCAGGCTCTCTCTCTCTCTCTCTCTCTCTCTCTCTCTCTCTCTCTCTCTCTCTCTCTCTCTCTCTCTCTCTCTCTCTCTCTCTCTCTCTCTCTCTCTCTCTCTCTCTCTCTCTCTCTCTCTGAGCCCGGCGGAGTCACCGGCAGGGCTCAGCTTCCCAATTCTCAGCTCGGCGGATCGCTTGGGCCTCAGTTGGTTTTGGCGTGACTCATGGCGCTGATCAGACCTGCCAGTGTGCTTCAAACATTGCCGCGGCAGTCGTGACGTAACGTGTCACCTGCGGCGGAGTCAGACGGCCGGGCGGGGCAGCCCCGCCCTGGATCATGCAGCAGATTCCGACCCGATCCGGGGCCGCGGTGTACTGGGATTCGCCGTCCGGGACTCTGATCATCGGACTGAGGATCAGAGTCACTGGGCGATGATGGTCGCCGCCGAGTCCGCCTCAGCCTGACTATTCTGATGTCCAGACTATCTTGATGTCCAGGTGTTATCTTCCGCTCTTCCGCCCTGCGATGCTTCGGCGAGCATGGAATGGCCTGCGTCAGGCACGCGGCATGCTGAAAAGGAACATGACAACGATGAGAGCAACTTCGTCTAGGGTTGGAACAGCCACGCTGATTCCTCCTAGTGCCCTCCTGCTGTCATGTGCTGCCTCCATGCCTGCTCGTGCTGTGCATACTCAGGGAGGCTCGAGCTTGGTGACATGTCCTTCAGGTCTCAAGTATGAGGTACCAAAGGAAACTCAAAGGGAACTTATCTGACATGCTCTATCCTCTCAGGAAATCAGAACTGGAAGCGGCGAGCAGCCAAAAGTAGGCGACATCGTACAGGCACTGAAGCATCATCGATTCGAATGCATCTAACACGCTGCAGGTGCACTATGTCGGTACTCTGGAATCAACCGGAGCAAAGTTTGACAGCTCGTATGATCGAGGAACTCCCTTGGAGTTTCCTGTTGGGACAGGGAAAGTGATCAAAGGGTACGGACGATATGCTCATCTGCTGCTACTATTGACATTGCGATCATCATTGAAGGTGGGACGAAGGCTTGCTGTCCATGAGGGAGGGTGGAAAACGTCGCCTCGTCATCCCGCCTCACCTTGGCTACGGCAGCAGAGGAGCTGGAGGTGTTATCCCCCCTAACGCGACGCTCGTCTTTGTTGTCGAGCTCGTCGGCGTCAAGGTATCCGTCAAGCGGTTGACCCAAATGTCGTCGGTGACTTCGAGTGACAGCCTCCTCCTCCGTCTCTCTGGAAAAGATTCTTTGGATGATTGCAGGGTGTCTTGCAGGAGAAGTTGTTGTCTTCGTTGTAATGAACAAGATAAATCCCTTTTTGTCTCCCACTTGTGCGATTTCTTGTTTGTGCTCCAATATCATTGTGAGCCGTCACATGTTCGTCGAGATCATTCGCTTCCAATGTCTTCTTACTCCACGTCCCGCTCCTCGCTTCCACTCTCTTTCTCTCGTCCTCTCCTCTCATATCTCCCGGATCTCGTTCCAAGGTTTACCTGCATTTCCGCACACCTCTAGTTAAACCCCCTCATTTCTTGTCGTTCCCCCCCCCCCCTACTACATCTCCCCCTCCCCCAACAAAACACTCTCTCTTCCTCAAAACTGCACGCTTGCTCCCTGTTTCCTGACCTGTACTTCAGCTTGCCTCCTCGACATGTCTCGTCCTCTCCCTAGTCTGATTGTTGTTCTTGACTGGTCGAAATTCCATCGCTATATCTCTTCTCCTTCCTCCTCGATGATTCCTTGCCGATGAATTCCTTTCCCCTCCTCCTCCTCTCCTTCTTCTGGGCGAGTCTCTCCATTGGCCATCCCAGCAGTGGGAGACGCTGCCGCCTGCCTGATGCTGCGGAAGAGGTCCGAGCGACGGCTGAAGCTGCCGTAGAGCGAGGCGACGCGGCAACTGTGAGCATGGACCTTGTTCGGCGCGGCATGGTATGAGACATTAGCACAGGCCAAGCAATGTCTTCACCTGCTGCTTCAAAGGCGGCAAGGCTCGTCGAGCATGGGGTCAAACTTCTGGTGGCTCCTGGGACAAGCGCACGAGGTTCTCGCATGTTGTCGAGCAAGCGACTTGACGCCCGCACAGTTGGAAGGGGAGATAAGAGATGCGCTGCTGGCTTATGGAGAGGCTCTGCTGCTCCCTCAAGGAAGATCCCTCGACCTTGTTGCCCCTTCTGACCCCAAGGACAACAGCAGTCGCGTCTCCTGACCTCAAACTCCAGCTGCACTCAAGGAAAGCTCTGCGCATATACGCGCTTGTGAATCTGACTGGCCTCTAGACGCGCTCTGCTGCTGCAACGTGTTGGCCTTGCCAGGGAAGCCGCAGAGGAGTATCGCAATGCTATCAGTGACCATCGAGCGAACCTCCTCCTCCTCTGACGGACGGCAGCAGGCGGGTCAAACAGCACGAGCATAGACCTATGGTACGAGGCCGGACATGCTCATCTTCATGGTGGAAGTCTTGGAAGTGAGCTTGCTCTCGTCCTGGTGTACTTGAGATGCTCATGAGAAATGTAGTTGCTGCTCGTCTCTTCAAGACGGGGTTTCGTCTATCGCAAGATTGCACGCCATGTGTTGAGGTAGACGATTTCGGTTTGTCTTGCTTCCTTGGTCATGTCAAAGGTCAGGGAATGGCGACAGCTCTGTATGGCACAGGTGAGCAGGTAGAGGTTGGATGCTGCTGGTGACCTCAGAGTGCAGGGCATGTGCTCGAGTCTCTCAATCACTTCAGGTCACTTCCCGTCGCTCCTCCCACACTCCTCACCCTTACAAAAGATTCGTTGCCATGAAGGAGCCGTCGAAGCCTTTGAGCCGCTCTAATCTTGCTGCCGGTACGAAGCTGCCCCCTGCCTTCCTGCCTTCTTGCCTGCCTTCCTGCCTGCCTGCCTGCCTTCCTGCTTTCCTTCCTTCCTTCCTTCCTTCCTGCCTGCCTGCCTGCTTTCCTATACTCCTTCCTTCCTGCCTGCCTTCCCGCCTGCCTGCCTGCCTTCCTGCCTGCCTGCTTTCCTATACTCCTGCCTGCCCCTGCTTGCTTTCCTGCCTTCTGCTCTGCCCACCCTGCTAGCTTCTGCCAGCACTGCCAGCACTGCCAGCACTGCCAGCATAATTCCTCTCTACGTGTGTTGTGCTTTTCTTCTCATTGCCCCTCGCGCTTTCATACAGCGCTCGGTAAAATCGCAATGGACGTGGATGAAAGGTTTCTTGCACGCGCACAGCAGGCGTATCTGACCCTCATGGTGAAGTGGACTCGCGCGATTCAGATTCTAACGACAAATTCAGGGGCAAAGTCAGAGGAATGGAGATGCGATGTCCAAGGTAGGTCGTTTTGACCACCAAGACAACATCTAAGGGCGAACAGTTGCTCATGCTCAGCGGACAACTTTGCTCGTGGACTGTCGTGGAACAATATTTTGACACACTGAGAGCCATCATCAGAGAGCAAGTGGAGATCAGAGCTCACTTTTGTATCCCCATTCTGACTCCATGCTCTAGATAGCCGATGGAGAGAAACCTGCCCTATCACCTTTCAACTCTCTGTTGCTTCCGCTGGGTGAGACTTGAAACGATCAGCATGAAGCGACTCATTTGAATCAGATGCTATGGAAGTCAAAGAAATTCATCGAGCTCATGCTCGTCATCAGAACTTGACCGTCACCTTTCCTAACGACTGGTCGCTCCTTCCATCGCCTTCCACCATCCTACGCGTTGGATTCGTATCAGCTGATATCCGGGATCATCCCGTGGGAAGGGACCTCAAGGCATAACCTCATTCCTCCTTCCTTCCCTTCTCCCACCCTGCCCTTGCAAGGAGTGGCAGACGGTTGAAACAGGAGCAGGTGATCTTGAAGGCGCTGCGAAGCAGGAGGGTCGAGACCTACTTGGTTCTGCTTCATCTATCTTTTCACTGCTCACTTTTAGCTGCAGTATGCTCTCAACCCTCTGCATCGTCCCTCTGCTCCAGACAGAGACAAGCAGTGGACTTCGAGCATCATAGGTGAATGCTTCAAGACTGTAGAGCTGTCGAGCCAGAGCAGCAGAGAGGTCGATGTCTCTCCAGTCGCCATCGAGCATGTTGACTTGTCCCTCTTGCAGGCGTCGTCCTCCATTGCAGCTGATGGAATTCATGTCCTTGTTGACCTGATGGGCTACACGCGAGGTTGTCTCTTGCTCATCATGCCGCGAGTAACGTGAGCAGGCAATCAGATAAGCTTGTTTTCATTCCGACCGTCACCTCTGCTCTTGGCGTTCAAGGTTGCAGCAACGGTCGATGATGTGCGAAAAGACGTCTCATGTGTTGGCAGGGCTACATGTCAACGACAGGACTGGACTACTTCACTTTGGGTAGATTTTGCTATCACAGTGAGGATCTTCAACATTGTGACTGACTTGACAGTCACCGATATCACTGCTTCTCCTCCCGAACTTCGATCTGTGTACACAGAAAGATTTGCCTACATCCCTGGTCTACTTCCTAGCTACATCTATCTCTTATGATGATGAGCAGGAAGCTTCTTCATATCGGGACATAAAATTAATCACAAGAACGTGCTAGACAACTCTGGCAGCAAGGCTCCGAAGAGAGAAGAACAAGAACAACCAGGAGAAGATCGGCTTCTAGGACAAGGACAAGTAAAATTGAACTTTTGCACGATTTACAAGCCCCTAATAACTGATTGATTCAAGATCCACGAAATTATTCATCAAGACAGGCTCCTGCTCTGCAGCTTCAACTCTCTCTACAAGGTGCAGCCCGCAAAAGTGCACATGTCAGGGGTGAATCTCTTTCACCAGATCACTCGTCACAACTGGAGGACGTGGATGCAAATCCTGGCTGTGACTCGAAGTAGCTTGCCGGCATGTATTGATTTTGTTGACACTCACTGTACTGCAGGTGAAGCAAACAAGACAAGACTTTGGCTCCTCAAGGATCCAGCGCCTGCCATTGAGAACCTCTGCAAGTTTGTTTTCTCCTCCTCCTCCTCCTTCTCTCCCTCCTCTTCCTCATACCCCTACTCCTCATTGCTGAACCGTCTTGACCAACGGCGCCAGAGAAGCTGAAGAGTTTGGCTTAAACTGCAGCCGTGACATGTTATTCACTACACATGTATCGTTTGAAGTTCACTTGCAGGTAGAGCAAGCAACCAGCCGATGCCATCTGACTAGCAGCAGGTGAAGTCAAGATGCAACCTGAGCCTCGACACCTTCCAGTACAACTCTCATGGGACTGCCGCGGACATCTTGTCATGCCCTCTCGCTCGCTTTCTCTGCTCATAGCTGTGCAGGTGGGCTGGAGTCCCCTTGGTAACTCTCCCTAACATCACCATGGCATCGCGCGTGGCTGGTGAAGAGGATGGCGTCGTCTTCGAGGGAGTGACATGTTGACTGCCAGCGAGCATCCTACGAGGGTCCTCATACGAGGAGCTTGTGGTAGAGGATGTCAAGGTCGATCGCATGACTCACCGTCTGTTCCAGGCGAGGAACGTTGCCGACTACGTCGACATCGCCCACAGGCTGGCGACAACTCCTCGGGTAGACTACCTGCATCCTGCCCGATGACTTAACAGCTTTGCAAGCTCCTTGCGAATCTACGCGCTAGCATCCAGAAGTCAAGGACCGTATGGGCGCTGCATGATCACGAAACTTGGGCATCACGGTTCGTTCGATCCTTGCTGTCTCGCTGCTTCTCATGGCCTCCAGGTTCTCAGCGCTCTGCTGGCTCATGTGGGATCTGTTCGATGCTGGTAACGAGCCATGCGAGGGTGCCTTGGCTCTCTCCTCTGACACGCTCCTCCCTCAGCTCAAGATGCAGTCAGCCCGCACGTTGTCCTCGCTTCTTCGCCTCACCCCTCTCCTCCATCCTGCCCCTGACGCCCAAGCACAGGCTCCATGCAGCCCCCCGTCCTCGCCCCTCCAAATACATTTTATTCCCGCCCTAAAAATTCACCGCTACCTTCCGATTCCGTGCGGCGCCTCCTGCTCCCTGGTGCTCTCGTGCTGCCCCTGCATGCTGCGCGAATGGCTGGAGGGCTGGAGGAGGGAAGCGAACCACGTGTTCCAGCTCTGCAACTGCGAGAAGGACCTGGATCAGCCTCCCATCTCGCGCGCGTCGAGGACGCTGGGCCCCGGCTTCGTGGAGGTCACCGCCTACACGCCACTGTACGAGAGGGCAGGGGAGCGTCAGGAGACGCGGATCCCGCTGCTAGATGGGCGAAGTGCGAACGAGGCGAAGAGGATGAGGGGAGCGCAGCTGCTAGCGTCTGGTGGGCGAACCGTGAGCTCGGACCCCAAGGGAGTGATGTACGAACCCAACACCCTCCAGCCTGTCTTCGGCTCGGTGCCTGACTTGAATCCCAGTGAGTATCACTACCGCAAGGATGCTAGAGAGTACTTGGACAGGCTGCATGACGACATCGTGTTCGAAGAAGACTCCACTGCCTTGTCCACACTGGGCTTGATCCTCCTGGGAAGATTCATTTACTTCGTGATCCCTGGAGGACCCGCCGACGTCACCATGTCGGACGGGTCGAGACTTGCATGCAAGGACGAGATCCTGTTTGTCAATGACGAGCATGCGACGGAAGACAACATTGGGAGGTTGCTGAAAGGCTCAGATCAGCCTGGTACGTCAGTGCAGGTCGCGGTGAAGAAGGCAACATGGTTTGGCGAAGAGATCCTGGAGCGAGTGATAGTCGTTCGGGAGGATTATCCGAAGATAGAAGTGGACTAACTTGAAGCGTGTGTCATCTAGTTGCGTGCAGGAGCAGCTGGAAGCAACAGAGAGAGATCCGAGAGCAATTGAACGATGAAGTTCACTTGGCTATCAATGTGTATGCAGACAGCGCTGCAGGTCTCTAGGTTGAGGTTTTAGTAAAGCGCGGAGATATATGCCCGCTTCAAGGACGCCGAGGAGAGGGTGAGAGCTTTCAGTGGTCGTGTGAAGTTTCACTTGAGAAGTTGCTAGTCCTTTCCACCTCATTCACAGCTCGTCCTTAGCCTTGTCGTCCTCGTCGTCCAGGAAGAGTGCGGCCTTTGCTCCAGTCAGCTTCGTCATCTACATCTCGCTTTTAGTACCTGCTCCGGAGTGCGATGCTCTGCCGGGTTACATTTTTCGGGGCCCTGTAGTATGGTCAGCAAGAAAGCAGCTCATGACAACGTCACCTTGTAGCTTGGTGTGCAAGGATGATATTCACCGTCCATCTGAGGAAATTCATCGATTGCGATCCCCTGATTGGAAAGGTAAGGAAGTCAGGAAACAGTCGCTCATAGCAGATATTCGAAATTGAAGCCCTACATCGTAATGCCCATCATCCTTTTCAAACACAATGATTTCGTTCACTCCTTTGTAGTGTCCCCTGCACGACGAGAACATTTCACAAGCCCATCGACCGTTGTCAGAGTTATGCTCACTCTACCTGCGACACGTGGAGGCTGGTGAAAGCGGCGCCGCGCATACACTGGTGCATTCCAGTTCCATCTTGAGGAAGTAGTTGGTCCCGTCAGCAAATGCCTTCAACATGAAGCATGTCAAAATCTGCAATCGTTTCTTTTCGCCCCATACCGATCTTGCAGTCTCTGCACTGATCACTTTATTGATCTTCATATCCCTGTAGCTGTCAGAAAGCTTGATAATTTCTGCCAGAGCAAAGTCGCGGGCTTTGATGACCTCCTCGTCGTCTACAGACACCTGAGCAGTGGAAGAGTTTGTAACAAGTCAAATCTTAAGTAAGAGAAGTGAGGCAAGTTGCTCAAGAAGGAAGGCATAAAGCATAGCTCGGGGAAGCGACATGGAACATGGTTCAGAGTGGAGATTCCCTCATCGAAACATGGCCCAGGAGAAGAGGAACGGAGTGTCAGGAGCTGTGTACCTTCTTCCTCTTAGGTTTTGCCGCAAGTGCAGGAGAGACTAGGAGGACTAGGAGCGAGGCCGTGCAGAGGAGCAGAGCGAGAGTGTGCCGACGGTCCATGCGCATCTTCGGCAGACACGCGGTAACGAAGCTATGGGGCTATGATACAAAGCCCTATGGGGCTATATCACCCTACCCCACGTTGAATATGGTGGAGTCGTATGCGATAGTGGGTCCTTGCGAATTTCCCGCCTAGAATGCCGTTGTTGCCAACATGGCGCGGGAGATCGACGATTTGGTACAATGCGCAACAATGAGAGTGGAAACACGTGTGAAAATACATGAAGACCTACAGGCATAAGACATGAAGAAAGAAAGCACGTGTGAAAAGACATGAAGACCTACAGACGTAAGACATGAAGAACGAAAGCACATGTGAAAAGACATGAAGACTAACAGACATAAGACATGAAGAAAGGAACTGAGATTGAGGACAGAGACGCCATGATCCTTTCTTGATGCGCAGATGGATACCGGGGCTAGCAGTCTGGAAACAGCAGCCAATCGTTGTAGTCGAGCTTCCAAGTGCCCCCCAAGCCCAGAAAGCGAAGACTTTCAAGAGGTGGCGCGATCAAACAGGAAGGGGAATGATCAATTAGTCAAGAGACAAAAGCTTGCTGCCTCCTCCTTGGATGTTGAAGTGATGCAGGTCAAGTTGCGAAACAAGACCTCCATCTGCAAGGGTGAGTTGCTGCTATTCTTGCATGTGGAACGTTGCTCACTCACTTTCTACAGTCGTACGGAGCGAAAGAGGTGCAGCACGGATGATAGCCTATGCTGAGAAACAAGATCTTTTTTTTTGGTATCTTGATATCAATGGCTTGAATACAGACATCGAAGAAGATGTAGAAGAATCGAATAACCTACATGAAAACGATAGAAATCTACCTAAGATTGACGGTTTTGCTCTTTCAAGTACTATGGATACCATTTGGTATCTTCCAGCAAACAATGTAGGTAATTTCAAAGAGTGTCTCTCCAAGATCTTCACGGTCGACTGCCAGAAAGTTACTTTCTCTGGAACCACAATCTTTCCGATTCTACTTGATTTGAATGTGGAATGTGGTCCGCCATGCAGAATGTTGGACTTATCTGTCCTTGTGGCTGGTGCTGTACAGGCGAACTTTCATGATATGTCAAAGCAGAGGATGTATCAGAGACTGAGCAGCGAACTCGATATTTGTCTTGACAAACTTGTGCCAGAACTCAAGGACCTGAAAGCAGCTAAGATTCCATCAAAAACTTTGTGTGCATGTGCAAACGCTCTGAAAATTCACTGGCTTTACCTCTCATTGTTTGGAGGTGGTGATTGTCAATCTGTTCTGGATGATAAATCTAGGAAGTGCATGCTGGAGTTAGATACCGTTCTCGTCCATGCACTTGCACATGCGGAGTATGTGGGGCTTCGCATCGACTTCAGGGCGTTGCGGAATATCACAACTTTGCTGCGATCCAGACAGAATGAGTTGAATGAAGAGCTAAGTTGGAGATCAGAGATGCAGAGAGATTATGCTCATGTACGTGCTGAAGGAGGAAATGCACAACATCCTGGCCAATCGATCGGGTTGTTGGATGCAGATTCGATGAAACGTATGCATGCTGAGTTGCGAGAAGTACAGACTAGTCTCTACACATTTGTAGATCCCATTTGGAAGAATGCGATGAAATGTAGGACCAAAGAAGTCGGTAACACAGAGGATTTGCGCGATTACAGGGTCTCCTTTGTGCAATGTCCTTTGCTGGAAGACACTGAATATATGGCAGGTGCATCTTAATATCAAGATTAATGAGTTCGCAAAGAGCACTCTATCTACATGTCGACCACAACTCCATGTGATCCCTCCAATACGATCCTTCCTCGTTGAAGGAGGTTCGCGACAAATCTCTATTGATTTCCATGATGTCTTCATCGCTGATCAGGACATGGTCTTGATCCGCTGTACTATACCGTAAGAAGTAGCCAGAGAACTCCATCCATCTCACACTTGCTTTGTTTGCAGTCATCTGATGGAATGGGCTATAGCCCTGGTCTCTGAAGACGCCATCTTTGCGGAGTGCCTGGTGGGAGAGGCTGTATGGGATGCTGTTGCAAAAAAATGGATCAGCATGTCTGGATTCCCCAACTGCAGCGGCGAGATACCGATCTCAAAGCAGGTCGAGATCATCGTCGATGGCTTGAAGAGAGGAAACAGTCTGGACATCATTGCGCAGAACCTGATGGTCCCTTTAGCAATGTTTGAATCGGTGTTGAGTTCGTTCTCATCTGTATTCCCGTCTCTGGTCAACAAGGTTGGTTTGCACATTCTGGTGAGCTCGTTCATGACATCGCTTGCTGTCGGGCTTGTTGCATGCGGCACGGTCGGACCTGCAGCTAAAGGGCCTGCGGTGTATCATGGAAGAGGGGTTTCGAAGCTGGAACGGTAGATACTTCAAGTTCGTCGATACCAAGAAGCAAAAGCACCATGCTCCATCCAAATGCAAGCAGGAAAACAAAAGCGGGTCTGTGCCAGCCTTGTGTCTGACCGTTTCCAACAGGTACTTCAAATAGCTTCGAATGAGATGCTGAAAGTTCTTGGAGTTGCGATTGTGAATGCCTGCGAGTCGTTTACAGAACCTTACCAAGCGAGCCTTGTGTCGATCAGCGATGAGGGGGTCTTTCTGCAAGCCCATCATGGTCAAGCGGAGGACCTGAAAGTTCTTATCTTTGAGATGTTTGCGACTCACCCTTGGCCATGGAAGTTCAGGCCGACAATTGAGTTCTTCTCTGCTGATAGACTTTCTGGGTGTTTTCGTTCAACTTTCAGTTAGTTAAACAGTTCCGAACTTCAGCTTCGACTCGAATTCCCTTTCAAGTTTCCCATCGACTCTCAAGAGTCCCGGCGAACTTAAGCGCACTGCCGCGGGCCCGGTGCACGGTGCACCCGGTGACCGTGGCACCGTGGCACGGCGCCGCTTGCCACGCGCCGTTGTGAGTTGGACCGTCAGGCCGGGCCGGCCGCCGGGCGGCCGCCGCCCGCCGCCGCACTGAAGCGGCCGGGCCCCTCAGTCGCCGGCACCGTACTGTCAGCCGCGTGACCATCGGCCGGTAGTACAGGGCCCGGGCTGCTGCGGTGTCACAGGCTGACACGGATCGAGGTGAGCGGCGGCTGTTAATAATAATTATCATTACTAGGGCCGTGCCTGCTGAGCCGTGCCTGCTGAGGCTGGCGTGGCTGACGCCCGGGCCCTGACTGAGGGGCGGATTGGATTGCAGGTGGACGCGTGACAATGACCGTCGGAGCAACCCGGCGATCACGCGTCGACAGGGCTGCCCCGCTGCGATGACTGGCATGGGGCCCCGATAGGAGCCGCGGCCAGGTACAAATGCAGTGAATTCATGTGACTTGCTTACCCCTTGTGTCAGCAAAAGTACTTGCGCCGTTTCACTGCATCCACAAAAGTGCCAAATTACATGATTTCATTATTTACAGCAGTGATCACACACGATCACCACATGTTCAACACCTTCGTTCCTAATGATAGGACACTATTTCGCATCTCACAATCTCCCAGCCTTACAAGGAGCAGATTATTGGCCCCCGAAAGGAGTCACGGTCTCGCATTCAGGTGTGTGCTGACATACAACATAGTTCGCTTCATTGATGTACCCGTGACAAAGATTTCCGTTTGCCGAAACGCCGACCGGTACTTCCGACTACATTTTTGGGGGTCTCTAGGGGCTATGATAACACTCCGGAAACATTCACCGAAATTTAAAAAACGTCTTTCTAATCTATTACTGTTATAAGTACCCCTACCCACGTTCATCCTCTCATTCGCTCATAAATCAGTAGGGGTAGGGGCAGGGGGAATGTACCCCTTCTTCAACGCTCTTGGTACTGGATATGACCGGATTCATCAACCTCACCAACCGACCTTCTTATCGCTTGTCTTCGATGGCCTTCGAAGCTCCGAAAGGATCTTTTCCATGTCAGCAATCCCTACACCAGTGTAGTAAATACACCTGTGAATTCAATAAATGTTATTAAAATTGTTCACATGTGGTTTTACTACACGAATAACCTGGCGATCGCATTAGTGGATACCTACCACCTACCCCTGATTGCCTAGCAAAAATATACCCCACCAGTTCGCGAACAGTACCCTCACCCCCCCTCAGAACCTTCCATACACCCAACTTCCAGTATTTTGCAAGGACCCTACAACCCAATTCCCCCTCAAACCCCCCACCCCACCCATGCACTGAATCACTCCTGATAAAGTGCCGCTGCTGTCTTCTGTAGACAGCGTTGGTCTCCCTGCTCCATCGTCAGCTCTCCTTGCCAGCTCCTGTCTCACTGGCTCTACTCGCTTTGCATCTCGCCGCGCGAAAGCTCCGTTATCAAACCGAGAGCCTCTCTTGGAGATCTCGATCTTTGTCAGACTCACGCACACCGCGTTTCTGCCTTGGGTTCGTAAACCAAAACGTCGCGTGAAAGAGTGCTTCAAGAAAGCTTCAACAAGATACTTTCGCTCTCCGAGGGCATAACTTGATCTCTCTATCTTCATCTACCTGTCACATTGCACTCGGATATCCTATCTGTCACTTCAGCCATGACAGAAACAGTTGTTGTGATCAGGGCGAGAACGAGACATGGACTGCTCAGGAAGTCCCGATCGGTGAAGCTTGATCTGAACATGATCTCAACGTTGTACAATATGCGACAAGAGGATGCAGCGACTACTTTGGTAAGCAATTGAACAAAGCGAAGAGATCATTCTGACGTGTTATTAGGGAATCTCGTTGACAAGTCTCAAGATTGCATGCCGGAGGCTCGGCTTGAAGAGATGGCCCAACTCGAGAGTTGCAGCAGGAAGTCCAATCCTTGTTGAGCATGACAACACAGATGCTGGAGCAGGAAGCTCAACTAGACCCTTGGCGGAGAACAATCACGGTGCAACAGAGCCTTTAGAGCTCTTCGACGATGAAGTGGGCGACTTGTCTCTACTCGATGAAATGGACGATGCATGCACGGGATCCAGCACAGAGTCAAGAAACGATACGTCAGAGCAACCAAGAAGCATCGATCATGATGCTGTGCCACTGGATGAGAACTGGATCAAATGGTTTCTCCAGTGTGATGAAGATGGCCCTGTATCGTTCCATTCTGATCCTCAACTCTGAACTACCTGTACTTGCATTGCTATATGATAATTGTCTGCAAAGCTTTCTTTCCGTGATCTCTTGTGTCGCATGATCATTTTTGAAGAGAATGATAAAAGAAGAAACAAAACAAGGCACGCATCAACTTGATGTCATTTTTTCGTTCGGATGAAATACGCTCATCACATCGACACTGTTTGTCATCAGCGCCTTCATTCTTTGCTCTTGAGAATGATCCCGATCCAGTATCTGACAGAAAAGAATGATAAGACATTTGAGTATTGAAAAAAACATACTTGGCTTGCGCATGTCCTTGATTCGCAGCCATGGTGTAATATTCGAGGGCCTTCTCCTCGCTCTGCAAACAGTCAACAAATGAAGTACGATGACTCTCACACACCTTTGGAACTCCTCGGCCATAATAGTAGCATTGGCCCAAACTATACTGCGCTACCTGATATAATCATCAGGAATCAATTTTGCCGCTCATGGAAATTGACAGGATGTGATTGTTTGGCCGCCTTTTCAAACCACTCGACAGCTTTCTCCAGGTTCTGATTTCGAATGATGAGTGAAATTGATTACACAAAGCTTCTCATCACTTTCTCAACGCCTCTGCCAGAGTAATAGCATGCAGCAATCTGGTCTGCAAATTACGAGCTGACTTCAGTGAAAGAGTGTCGACCTGATACTCAGCTTGAGGATGTCCTTGTTCAGCAGCCTTCAAGAACAAATCTGCTGCTTTGCTCTCGCTGTTCTCAACTCCCTGTCAAGTTTAGAGCTTCAGCCTCACCCACCAAGACAGTGCAGATCTACTTGGCCGTAGTAATGGCAAAGCCCTAACATGTATTGTGCTTTCGCAAGCCCCTGACATTAGATATTTAGAAAGTTTCATCAAATAGATGGAACAAACTTGTTCACAGGCCTTGGAGAACAAACTGGCAGCTTCTTGGAAGTTTTCTTTCAATCCTGATCTGAACATTGTATTGAGCAAGATTCAATGCGGCGTGGCAACAGAATTGACCTCCCATAATAAAAGCACTCGCCAAGCTTATACTGGGCTGAAGCATCACCAGCGTTGGCTGCATTTGTGTAATATTTTCTGTACTAAAGTCAAATATATCGAACTGAATCCCGAGACAAATACATGGATTTAACTAAATCTTTCTGGACTCCACGACCTTTCTCATAGCAAACCCCAAGAGCATACTCTGCTGCAACATGCCCCTGATCAAGTTGAAAAGTCAATTGCAAGAAAAGATAGACAAGGTTTCTACCTGATCGGCGGCTTTCAAATACCAAGCGACCTACAGCAAACATCAACCAAAAGTTTTCAGAAACCATCTCACTGACAGCTTGCTCGATGTTTCGATCTACTCCTCTGCCGTAGTACATACAAACTCCCAAGTTATACTGGGCGTCTAAGTGACCCTTCTCGGCTGCCTTTGTATACCACTGCAAAGGAGACATGGTCACCAAGTTTCGTCCAAGTCAAGCGTCTTTGTAAGCGTCTTGGCTTCATACCTTGACCGCCTCACTCTCGTTTGCTTCGCATCCACGGCCAGCCAGTAGCGACATCCCAGTTTCAAACATCGCCTTCACATCGCCCTGTATCTCCATGTTCAGATTCATTCCATACCCATGATCACCATTTACCTTCTCAGCGTCAAATTTCAACTTATCAAAAGATTCTTTGTCACTCATACCAGTGCCTAGGAAGCGACTAACAGCACATGCCGTCACTTCATCGATACCGCAGGGGGCTGACCCCTCCAACTTGCAAGCAAGAAGCACACCTCAGCCCTGGCGCCTTGGGAGCTGAATATACTGCAGCCACGACGGGTCTGCACGAGAGAATGTGACACCTGTCATGTCTCGATGAGGGTGGGATGAGGAGGAGACATCAATGACCTCTGGCTGCATGGAGCAGAGGGGAAAATCTTCTGTGCTCCAGGACTGCTTAGAAGCCGCCCCACCACCTGCTCGAGAGAATACAAAGATTAGTGAACCACGAAGAATGAAAGATCAGTCAAGAACAGGGTAGGACAACCCTTCCTGCAGTCAATTCTCACAACGTCATGGTGATTGACAGATGAAAGTGACTTATGGATTGCTTGAACAACAAAGCTTGAAGCAAACTGACGTTTTTCGTTTTTCGTTTTTCGAGCACTATCTCATCATGATTCCACTTCAAATGAATAGAAGTACAAAAAGAGCAGCTGAACAGACCAGAGCAATGAAGACGGAATCGAAGACAGAGAACAACAAAACCATTGGAGAATCCTCCACGTCCATCTTCAAAATCCTCTTCCTTCTATTCCTCCTTCACCATAATCATCCTTCCTTCCCTCTCCTGCTCTTTCTCCTGCTCTCCTCCTGCTCTCCTCTTCCTCCTTCATTCTCCGGTACTGCTTATTTTCGTCTCCTTTTCCTGCTCTTGCTCCTCCATCTACTCCTACTTCGCAATGACTTCCATCACAAGCACCTGTGGTGTGTGACCATTATCACTACTCCTCGCTTCATCAGGCCTAATCTTACGCTGCTTACATTACCTGCCGAAGGTTGCGAGTTCCGAGCATGGCTGTGGAATATGGGCGTAGAGGAGGACGACGATGGTACGAGGGGTACTTTCATAGGAGATGTGCCGGGTGAGGGGGTATTGGGTCATGAAAACATGTAAAGGGCAAGTTTTTTCATTTTGTTTATATCAGTTTCGAATATTGTTTCAGTTTTATAGTATAAAATTGTATTATTTGAGGGAATTTTTGAAGATTGATACTGAAATATCTTCTAAAATAGAACCTAGACACCGCTGGCGGAAAAGCAAAAACGTGGCTTGGAAATCTCTGGGGCGGGCTGCCGTGATTAGATCAGTTTTACCGGCCCATGTCCGGCAATTCATCTCTGTTTGTCCCTTCTGGGCTAGGCTAGTGAAGAGAAAGAATTTGACTAGTTTGACTTTGCAACTGGTTGTATTTCATGAACAACTGCTACTTTACAGTCACAATCTTTCACGACTAGTCACCCGGGTACGTCAGCAAGGCTACACCTCGAAGAATCCACTTTGCTGGTGGGTCGATCGTTCGAATTTCAGGGGCAAACATGAAGTTAGGCTGAGCGGCAGTCATTCCTCGCTTTCTGGGGTCAAACCTGAAGTACACAGGGCACTCATACACCATGTAGTCCATCTTCTTGTTGGACTTCAAGACTCCGGTGATGTGCATCACGGGCAACAGCTTCACCAGCTCGCCGCGAGCAGCTTCCATCAGGTGCGAGTCCTTCTTGTGCCACGAGGCGCCTTCGAGGTACAATCCATGCACGAAGATGCCGTCCGAGTGAGCCTCCCGAACCTCCTCGTAGTCCAGCTTCGTCACCTCCGTGAATAGCACAACGTCATCCAGCGCCCACCCGGACTTGGATCGTGCGACCTCCTGCTTGACAGCAGTCAGGAAACCGGATCCGTTGCTGAAGCCAGGGAGCCAGTAGGACTTGGGACGACCCTGCTTGAGCCAGCGATCGAACTGCTCGTAGCGTGCTAGAAGGATACCGAACCAGATGCCTACTGTGGGAGAGAACCAGGCGCCCTTGAGCCAGACAGGAGGGACCTTGGCATTGAACATTGAATCTAAAGCTCCTGCAAGATCGTCGGACATAACGATCGTTCCTGCAATGGCCAGCTGCAAGTTCTTGAGTGTAGCCCTTACCACCGAGATCGACTTCTGTATGACGTCAAGCTCCTGCCGGAAGGCGACGTTGATCGGCTTCGTGGGACCCATCTTCTGTAGAGCCGTACGGATCTCTTCTTTGTTGAAGTCAGCAGGAATCTTCTGCAGCAAGTCTGCACAGAGCTCCGTCACAATGTCCTCGCGAGATTTGCCTCCTCCTCCACCACCACGGGGTTGAGTTTCAAGAATAGTATCAAAGAGGTCAGCAGACTCCTGCAGCCGGTACGTCAAGTCAGCGTTCTGATTCAGCCCAAACACTTCTGGCGAGTCGGTGACAGGAAGGTTCTCGTCGATGTGCCGCCTGTACGCGGCGATGTCTGTACCGGTGGGAATGGAGTAGCCTTTGAGAAACTCGTACCCAGGCTCAAGGACGTATTGAGAGAAGTACTTCTCAGAGAAGGTATTCATCTGCCTCCGATCCCAGTCGTCTGTAATCCTGCCTCCGTACTGGATCTCAGCGATCATGTAGCGCACGGTCGTCCAGGTAACTTCCTTGGATTTCTTTGCGTCCATCTCGAGCAAGTGGTTTTGAAGGAACAGCGCACAAGCGTTGAGGTCGGACTGATTGAACTCGTAAGGCACCGTCCAGCCGATGGATCCGAACTTCCTGCGTTCTTGCACGACACTGTGGCAGTGGCAGAGGACCCAGAGAAGGGTTCGCCACTCCGAGCGAGGAACGATGTCCAGCATGTCCTGAGTGATCCAGTTGTACGATCGCTTCATGCCAGCCTTCATACCGACCGGAGCCTCGTTGGTGATCTTGATACTCATCTGCAGGAGGCCGATGGGGAAGGACTTGTGCGGCTCTGCCGTCACCCACACGCGGAACTCGGGGTCGATCTGCTCCAGGTCTTTGTTCGCCAGCCTTCCCTCCAACTCCACCAGGAATTTGATTCCCAGGTGGCAGTTCTGCAGAAGAGCCCAGCAGCCCGTGGCCACCCCCTGGTCGATGAACCTGCGGGCGACAACCTCCTGGCCTTGACCCATGGAGACGGAGAGAACCTCTTTCTTCTTCTTCTTGGCTAGCCCCATGATGAGATCTGTTGGGTCAGATCCCATGGATAAGATGCAGACGAAGGGAGTTCGTTCAGTGCTCTCAGTGTGAGTTTGTTCAAGGTTGAGAGGAGGAAAGTCGACGTATCTCGCGCCCATGGTGTCGGCGATGTACTCCTTAGTCACCACCATCGTTCTGTCTGGCCGCAGTCCACGAATGATCAACATTCTGTGCATCTTGTCGAGTCGCTCCTCGAAGTCAGGGACGTTGGTTGCCTCCGGAGCGTCCAGGTCCATCCATTCCTTCCACATCTTCTCTCCTCTCACGATGGCCTCGGGCAGGTCTTTGAACATCGGGATGGACATGCTCAGCTGAATGGCGTTGAGCCAGGCGGTATCCGACATCCAGTTGCCAGGCTTCTTCCTTTGAGCTGCAATGTCGAGCGCCGCGCCTCCCTTTACGAAGCAGTTGAAGTGTTCCATAGTGATGGCACCTTCCTGGATCTGAACCTTCATGGCTAGAAGAGTGATGAAAACATCCTTGTGCCGCTCGAACAGACCTCGGCCGATGTACAAGTAAGTGATGTACGACATGTGCTCAATGATGTTGTTGATCCTCTTAGCCGGAATCTTGTTCTCTTCTGCTTCAACCATGGACTTCTGGAAGACTTCAATAAACTGAGCGAGCGATGTCTGGTACATGACGTTGATTGCGCTCATCTCAGCAATCAAGAAGTATAAGATTGACCCTCTTGTTGCTACTGGTCGGTACTCCTCTGCAAGAAACATCGTCAAGACAGGCTGCAACGCAAGTCTTCAACAACATACCGCAGGCTGATTTGATTCTGATCTCCGCTTCTCCCGCGTTCTTCAGTTTCTCTTGAACCTCCTTGCTCGTTTTCTTTGTCATGGCAAGCACGTCAACGATTTCTGGATCATCCAGCAAAGATCCCTAAAAGTGAAAGTTTTAGCTTGCAAGGCATAGTAAAAAACACTGACCTCGCAAGAAGACAAGCGGTACAATAAGTCATCCTGCAATTCCACGATCTTCTTCTGGTACCCATTGACCTCTGCTTGCAGCTTCTGCCTCTCCTGCTCCAGCTCAGGTTTCTCTTGCAGGACGACTCGGGCAAGCAGCTGATCTTCAAGGCCCTTGATCGTCACGGTGAAGTCGATGATGGTGACGCGGGCCGAGAGCTCGGGAGTGAAGTGAGGGTTCGGAAGCCTCGTGGTGATGTACAGCAGAAACTTGTCGGGCTCGATGTCGCACTCCTTGTCCGCCAAGGCCACTGAAGTGAACAAGTCAAGGGAAAAGAAAAAAGTCAAGCGAGGCCATTACCGATGAAGTTCTTGCCCTTCTTGATGAACGCCTTGTCCAGGACAGGATCAAGAACAGGATCTAGCTCGTTCTCGACGTTGGCAAGGAGAAGTGGTTTCCCATACCCCATGCAGTCTTCCAGTGAGTTCCTAAAGCCCTTGTCTTGGAAGGATGTCTCTTTGACGCCGTTCACCGCTTCTCTGTTTCGGATCCAGGCAAGCCCCTGCCCCTGAGGGTCGACCATCAGAGGGTAGCGACTGGCCCTGGTCGTCAGGATGCCGTTCTGAATCGAAAGATCGTCCGTGGGAAGACCTTGCAGGTTCCATTCGCCCGTGGTAGCTCCGTCAACAAGCATAGCAGAGATGTCGAGGTTCTTGGTGAGAGGGATCTTCTTGTCCAAGATGTCATGTGTGAAGGACGAGAGAACAAGCTTGTCTCTGAACGTCTTGTTGAAGGGACCAAGATAGCTAAGGAAGGCGCAGGCGACCGCGCAGTCTCCGACTAGGCGAGCGATCTGGTCATCGAACTCCTTGGACTGTTGAGTCCATCTAACTTTCTCGCCTGAGAGTCCTGAGATCAGCGCATTGGCAGCATCCATCTTGCGCTTGGTCGCATCCGCCTCGTCCTGCAGCTTCTGTTTGTCTGCCATTGCCTTGTCGAACTTCTCCTGCATCTGATCCAGCTGCGCTTGTGCGGCTGTCAGCTGAGCTTGAGCTTGCGCGAGTTTCTTGTTCGCGGCCGCGAGCTCTGCTTCCTTGACGCGAAGAGCGTCCATCTTGGGGATCACCACCTTGGCGATCTCGTGGTAAGTCTTCATGGCCTTCACCCACTTGCAGAGACCGACGGCAAGTCCGGAGGCCTTGGCAGCAGCCTCGACTGTGAAGAGACCATGATCGGTGTAGGGCGTGAGCAGCTCACAATCCTCGTCGGTAATGTTCTCTTTGGGAAACTGCTGAAGCGACGCGAGGAAGTTGGAGTCGTTCATCATCTTGCTTGCCTCGCTGTAGTTGTCCTTGTAGCATGCGAAGCCCTTGATGTCCACCATCTGACATTTGAGCATGGGCCCTCGTTTGAGGATAAGAACACCATCAAAGATGATCTTGATGACGTCAGGAGGATTCTTGAGCGCCTTGAGGTTCTTGATGTCGTCAGGCTTGATGGCGTTCAGGGCTGACTCGGCTTCTATCAAGGCTGGTTTCGCAGCTTCAAGATCCTTCTCGACCTCAGCCTTCTCTCCCCCAATGACCGTTGCCTTCTCTCCGGCAGCGTCAGCCACGAGTTTCACTTCTGCCTTCGTCTTCTCTGCTTCGGCTGTCCCGATTGTGATCTCCTTCAACAGTGCGGCTGACTTCACCGCCGCTTCTTGCAGCACAACCTGTCAAAGACGAGCAAAGGCGATCAGGAGGGGACGAGAGCGAGGAAAGCAGGTGAATGCCGTACCTCCGTTGCAGCCAATTCAACCTTCATTTTCTCCACATCCTGCGCCGCCTCGTCAAGTTTGACGAGTCCGTTGTTGATCTTGTCAGCCAGCTCCTTGATCCCGGAGAACTGATCGCTGTAAACTTGGCAGTAGGTCTTGAGGAAGGAGAGATAAGACTTGGGCGTGACCTGCAGTGAGATCAGTCATTTTCCACAGTCTCGCTATGAGTTCCTACATAAACGTTTCTTCGGAAAGATTGGAAGTAATCGTTGGTTGCCTGCACTACCATGCTGTGAACCTTGGCCATATGTGCCATCAGGTTTTGTTTGATGTCTGCTGTAGTCTCCATCTTGAAGTCGTTGATGAACTTTTGAGACACGTTCAACAAACCTTCCTCCGGCCATGCCAGGAACCAGTCGACAGTCGTGCAGTTGATCAACCCGGGGAATTTGCGACATCGTGACGACAACTTCTCTCCAACTGGTGACATACAAAGGACAACATGCAGCTGGTTGCGAACGGAGTCGTAGAAGTATTTCTGAAGGTTCTCAGTCGTGTCGATGAAGCCCTTGATCGCTTTCTTAGCAATCGGACGAAGATCTCCGAGAATTGCATCCATCTCATCTTTAGGAAACAAGTTTGAGACTTCACCTGCAGTCTGTGTGAGAACAAGTCCAAGTGGACATGTAGCTCTTACCAGTCGACAAGATTTGGTTGATGTACTCAAGGAAACCTTCGTCTTTAACCTCAGCGTCAGTGAAGATGAAGGTGACAGGCTAAAGTGCAAGTCAAAGAGATTTCCGGCACATCAAGGGTTGGCAATACCTTGCCCTTCAGTCCTGCTGTCTTGTACAGCAGCTTGATATCTTCGAACAAGTTTGTGACAGAATAGTACTTGGTGATGGTGATCTGGAAAATGAAGTTCCCGGCGATAAACGACGCTAGACGTGCCAAGCTTTGCTTTCCTGAGCCGCCAACGCCAACAAGCATCATGGATCCACGATCTTGACACATGCACCTGGAGATTCGCATCAAGTGCTCAAGGGCGTACTCGAAGAGGACGAGTTCGAGTTTGCCGATCTTGTTCTCTTCGTTGTACTGCTTCTGGAAGTTGAGGGCTTTCTCACGCACAGGCGTCAGATCCCCGTGCTCAACAAGCTCATAGCTTTGAGGTCGTTCGTTGATGCAGACTCCGTCGTCATTGAAGAGCGGCTCAGGCATGAAATTCACAAAGTAGCAGGGGCCCGCCACCTTGGCTGAGATCTCTTTGCCGTAAACAGCTTCTATTACCGACATGATTGCCTTGTTCTCCCATTCCTTGTCCACTGCGTTCGTCAGCTTGTCGGTAAAAACTCGCTCGCACTCGTGGCGCCAGAGTTTGAGGAGGTAAACCTGCGAACCAAGTCACTTCCTCCTCTCCCTTGACTCAAGCTACTCCGCTCTCACCTCGTCCGGTATCGTGTTGCGAGTAGCCATGAACATGCCGCCGAAGACACGCGAGATCTCTCGCATGTTCCAGACGTAGTGAAACTTTGCTGGGGTTGGGAGCATCTTGACTGAGGTCTTCTGCCAGAGTTGGATAGTGGCTTCGGTCAAACGTTTGACACCTTCTTCAACCGACTTGGGGACTGCGTGGAAAGGCGACTTGCTGGATAGCCTGCCGGACATGATGGTACCGAAGATGTTGTCGATAGCAGCGATTGAAGGCATTGTGACGTTCATCAGGCAGTACTGTCTCTTCAAACGGTTCGGAATGTCGTTGCGCCCTCCTCCCGGATGTACCATGGCAGCAACGTAACCCATGTCTGTGAAGTTCTTCCACTCCCCGGGCTTGTCAAGACTGTAGAACCCTTCCTCGGCCAAACACTGTCGTACGATCTCGTTGGTGATCTGATCACCCCAGTTGTTGATGACAGGCATTGAAATGTCGTCGATGAAGAAGCAGCACTGCTTCCCTCCCGGGGGGCCGAAGGTTCTCCCCTGTCTCTTCTCCACGCAGCTCTCAAGGGTGCGTTGGAAGATCTCTGGCGTGGTAACGAAGGAGAAGGGAACCATCTTCTTGATCCAGGTCTCCGACGGCAAAGACGAGATGTACTGCTGCAGCGTCGCCGTCTTGCTCACACCAGGAGCCCCCGTGAACAGCACAGGCTTCTTGGCCGGCACCAGCATCGTCAGCTGGGCCACATATCGCACACTGTCAAGGGTGGGAAGAAGAAGCTCGGCAAAGCTTGGATCCTTATCGGTGGGATACTCCCAGTCCAGGACACGAATCTTCCAGTGCTTCCAGCTGCCAGTCTCGTCAACGAAGTACTCGAAGGCAGTCTCTTCGCCCACAGGAGGGAACACAGAGACGTTGGCGAGCTTCGCAAGGTCTGCACTGAACTTCTTCCTGTCGTCGAGCTCCAACAACGCTCCGAGCGACCAACACAGCGCATAGATGAAAATCTTCTCCATGTGCTCTTCCGAAAGGAACGTCTTGGACTCTACGGTAGGAGCGAGAATCTCCTCCAGCATCTTGAAGCAGGAGGTGAGGTAGATGCCGCTGGTGCTGTACATCACCGCCTTGCAAGTCTTTGTCACACATTCGAGCATCGGGTCGATGTACTTGTCGATCAGCGCCTGGATCACAGGCACTTCCTTCTCTCTCCGCAGGTTCAGCCAGGAGGGAACAAGCGGCTGCCATCCCAGGACAGAGCCAGAGACGTAGATGATACCCATGCGAGAAACCGTGGCGGGGGAGGCGTTCATGAGGTTCTCGGGCTCGAAGACTGCCTTCATGGCTGGGCTCATGGGGATGCGGTCCCCGTTGGCGAGCGTGAGCAGCTTGTTGTCATCCAAGACCGTGTTGAGGTTTTCGATCCAAATGGCGTCGACCGGCCCGTCCAACACAATCCAGGTGTTCTGATTCTTGGCTTTTGTGCCTTTCCTCCACAAGACAGCGAAGATGCCGTCCGTCCAGTCACCCGTCGTCGCGTCAAGGTTGCCAAACATCTGAGGTGCCGTGATGGCCTTGGGGTTCATGCGCAGAAGAACATGCTTGACGTCGACGATGGAGAGAGCTCGCGAGAGTACCTCCTGCATCATCGTCTTGCCGGACCCCGTCGGCCCGACGATTCCGATCCCATGGCGCACGTAATATGTCTCAAGCAGCTGCACACACTTGCCCGCCCATTCCGGCGCCTTGTCGTACTGCAAGTTCATCTCCTTGGACTGGTCGGCCATTGCCTTCTCGATCTCAGGGAAGGTGTTCTTCTCCGCGGTGATGTTGGGGAAGAGGTCAGAAATGAGAGAGATGAAGAGAGGAACGTCTTCAGCCACCAGCTTCGAGATGTTCATGTCCCTCAATGTTCTCATCATCAGGAACATCTCTGAAGCCTCCAACTCCTGTCGCTTCACTTTGCCTGCAGTTCGGAGAACTGAGAGGATGTTGCGGAGGCCATAATCGTAATGGGTTTGTTTCGATAGCTGCAACTTACAAAGCTGGTACAAGATGTCAAACTTCTTTGCGATGATCTGATTCTCGTAGAAACCGCAAGAAGCCAACTTGACACGCATGATCAGACCGAAATCTGGAACCATCATGCAGACTCCTCTGAACAAACTTTTCAAGTTCTCTGGAAGTTCTTGTCTTCCAGCGTATCCAGGGTTCATGGTAATGAAGTAAGAGCATCCAGGTCTCAAGTACACAGTCTGACCATCTGTGAAGACAAATTCCTGCTTCCTCTCTCTTTGCGCCTGGAGAACACAAGCAACCTGCTGTGCAGCAACAGACAACACGTCAAGATCGATCCTGTTGAATTCATCAAAGCAGCCCCAACAACCCGCCATTGCAAGTCCCTTGTAGATCTTCCCGAGAGACTTGTAGTCCATCTGGTCCGAGCAGTTGAAGACCACCACGAAAATCCCCAGGGTCCTTCCCATGTCCTTCGTCGTCTCTGTCTTCCCCGTCCCTGCAGGGCCCGCAGGGGCTCCTCCAAGGAACATGCCGATGGCTTGCGAGAGAGTGATGTAGCATCGATCTGTGAGAGGTGTAATCACCAGCCTCTCCTTGCAGCCGAGATATTCATCGTTGTAAACAAAGTCAACGTCGCAGATGGAGACAATACAAGCATCCTGCTCATAGCTCCAATAGAAGCGAGCTTGTTTCATCCACTCGAAGTCCGAAGGCTCTTTGATCTTCTGCTTCACCAATGAGTTGCTGATATCAACCTGATGCACGTCGATGGTGATGAGGGTCTCCACGTTGGTGCGATCAAGTTTGCTTAGGTCCGTGACTGTGAGGGAGATCAACTCATTCAACACCGCCAGCTCTTTCTTGGCTGCTTGCGACATCCCAGTCTTGTCCACCTTAGCACGCGAAAGCGCGTCAGTTGTCCTAGTCGTCCAGTCAAATTGCAGGGACAAGATACAGATCTGAGCTGGATATCGACTGACAACCTTGGATACATCCAACGAACCCGCTTCGCCTCCGCAATCTCGACAGATGTCATGGATCGTTTCCTGCATGGTTGCCACCAGCTGATTGAGGTAGTCCTCCACGTTCCCCTTAGCGTCCAACGGAACGGTGAAAGCAACTTCTTCGCCGTCATTCGCAACCATTTTCGTCATTGTGTTCTTCTTTTGCTTGTCAAAGTGCACGGATGCCAAGGAGTCAAACACGTTCTGGAGATGCACAACAATTGCGTGGGGGTCAGAGCCTTGGGACAAGATCTCCAACAAAACTCCGTCTGAGCAGAAATAGAAGCGAGGGAAACAATTTCTCTTAGTCTCAAGATATCCAGTGAGAGACTTCTGACACATTTCAAGCTGCTCCATCAAGTGAGGGAGCAGTTCCTTCATGATCTCATTGTTGCAGCAACATTCCACGCAATTTGGCTCCTCAAACGCTTTTGATGTCACTTTCATGAAATTTTTGTCGATCGAGGAAAATCGTTTCGCTTCCTGCGGCAACTGCTTGGCAATATCTCCGCTAGAGAAGACAGCTTCCATGTAAATCCACAAGTTCTGGACTTGAATCCACTGCTCCACAACATCCGAGACGGTCGACAAGTTGGCGATCCACATCTGCACTTCTTCGCGGAAAGGAGCCGAGTAACGGTTGCTTGCCATAGATCCCAACGTCATCTGAGAATCTTCCAGCGCCTCCATGATTTCCGACAGGTCCTTAGCGTTGAGAATGACAGGCCCTCGGTTCTTGAAGTTCGTAAAGGTGAACTTGAGCTCCTGCCACTGCTCGGATAGAGATTTGAGTTTGACTTCGATCTGCAGTTCCTTTCCTGAGCCACTGCAGATGTCTTCGATCTCTTCAGCACATTGCAGAAGGCTCATCTCCCCCGGACGAGTTCCAACATCCAAAAGGTGCTGAAGTTTGAACGTGTCTGGATTCATGTTGAGCTCACAGCTGGTACAGGTCATGACAGCTTTCCAGTGACGTTCCTTCATAGCTTGTCCGGAGAGAGCAGTGAGCAGAGGAAGGACTTCCAAAAAGTCGTCAATTTTCCTCTTCAACTCGTTGTATGCGTCCCAATCACTTGAAACAAAGTCAGTCACGTTCAAACACGAGCTTTCAGTCACCGAAGGGCCTTGGGCATGGACTTGCAACGTGTTTGAAGCTTGCCCACTTCTTCGTTCATCGCATCTATGTTTGCAACTACTTCCGTCCACAGAATGTCGCCGTAGTTGTCGATAGTGGTGATCGTTTCAGTGAAGAGACTGTACAGTTTGTCCAAGAGGAGAAGCTCCTTCTGTGTTTGCTCCAGCTCAGGATACTCCGTGACTTGCAACGCAAACATCTCCTCTCCTTGAGAGTAGGTCTTCCACTTACGATCCATCGCCTCGAAGTATCTTTGGTAAGTCTTGAGCGCTTGTGCGGCATCCATGGGCGCCATTCCCGGCTGCGCAAACAGTCAGGCAATGTGCAAGCCAAAGAATAAACAGCACCCGCATAGGACCGTTATGTTCGAAATCCGCACGAAATTCTTTGACTTCATCGATGAACTCTACAACATTTTCGAGCAATTTGCTTCTGAATGGAACTTGGAGGACGCGGATGTTGTTTCCAACATCGAACGCTCTTGCCTTGACACGCTTCCACTGTACCTTGAGATCTTGTAGCTCTTCAAGCTCATCGGGAGGAACCTGAAATGATTCAGTGAACAATCCGGGAGGGAACGCAAGATTTACCTCATGCTCGTATTGTGTGAGAAGCTCGTATCGCTCTTCAATAGGCTGAATCTCCTTGTCGATCTCGGTCTCTCGCTCTCTGATTTCCTTCAAACACTCCATAACGTCTCTAACATCTTCCAACTCCTTGAACTCGCGGTTCATCTGCCTTGTCTTCTCTTTGAAATAGTCTTGCATCGCCAACATCTCTCGTTTAGCTCCCTCATGCAGGTTTCTTGCATATTGCGCTTTCCATTGCACAGCCTCAGCAGTCAACGAGTCCATCAAGGGGCTGCTGTCCAAGCACATGCAGCCGATAACGTGAACACCTGGAATGTTTCGGATCTCACGCTCGATGTCCATATACTTCCTCAGCTCGTTTGAAAATGCCTCGATGTCAGGATTTGTCTGAAGGAAGTCCGAGTACGCTTTCTGCTTGTCGTTCTGCCAAAGATAGTTGTACTGGTCGAATGTCTTGAGATAGTCAGCGACATGTATCTTGGCGCCTTCAACTGCTCCTGTTAGAAGCAGAACAATCTTCACGATCTCTTTGTCCTGCGCAATTTGTCTGTGGAAGCTCTGAAGGTGTTTTACATTCTCTCGGTCCTGACCCCATATGTAAACCTTCTTGGTCGCTCGCAAGATGTGCAGAGCTGCTCTGTTAACAGCAGATTGAACCTCTTCCAGCGAAGGATTCATTTGAATGTTGGGGACACTGAGCTCCACCTCTACCTCGAAGAAAGGTCTCTGCATAACAAGAACTCCCGAGGCTTGTCTCGAACCGAGCCGATCTTTCAGGGCCCAGAAGCTGGACTTGGTTGCATGCAAGACAGCTGTGTACATGAGCCTCTCGTAATGGGACCTGAGCTTGTTGATTTCGTTGACATCACAGGTAAGGTCGTCGCTTTCAAGCGGGAAATTGATCACAGTGTCAATCAGGTCATTCACAGCTCGCTCTACTTGCAAGTTCCTCCTGTCCATCAGGGACGACTTTGACTTGATGGTCTTTTCTTGAAGAGAAACAAAGCTGTCAAGAGTAAACGATTGGTTTTGAGGCAAGTCCACCAACATGGTCTTTGAAATATGCTTAAGGTTGTGTTCGATTCTGTTGTCCATGATGTCATTGATTTTGTTGATGAGCTCCTCAAGCTTGGCAAGGCCTGAGTGCAGGCGCTGCAGATATCCATCGATGTTCATACTCTGCCACGTCAGCAGCACCATTCCTGGTTGAATCTTTCTGTCCAAGTCTTCTAGATGAGGCTTGATGATTGGCTTCACAACAGGAGGGACCTTGGACAATACTCTCTCATACTCTTTCAGCGCAAAGCTCAACTCATTGTAATATGCTTTGAATTTGTCCTCCTGCAATAAGACCATCCTGGCACCTTCAGGAACCTCTATCCCCATCCTCTGCAAAAACTTTGCCTCGCGAATCAACTGCAAAATTTCACGGTCGAAGTTCACAAAAAGCATTCCCGATCTTGGATGACGGATTATCAGAGTCGCCTGCAAACCAGATTTTGCTGCCTCGATGGATTTACTCCAAGCATGATGCCACAATGTCTCATACTCGATCAGAGCACGCGCGACCTTGTTGTAAGTCCTGATGATCTTCTTAGACTCCTTGGTAGTCATGATATTCTGCCAAAGTCTATTAGGGAACAGATGAGTCAAAGAATGCCTCAGTAACCTTGTTTGACTTGAATTTCTTCATCGGTTGCTCGATCCTTCGTAATAGCTGGCGAGACCAAAGAATATTTCCTGCAACAGGCGGGGCATTTCGAGTTGTGGGAGGAGCAGGTTTCTGTTTGTCGTAGATTTTCTGGACGGTCTCGAGATCTAAGCCATAGTTGTGAAAGATAACAGTGTACTTGCTATCAAGATCCGCTTTTAACGTCTGTTTCAAATACATCAATAACGGGCACCATCAAACATCCCAAGTTTACCTCACGCTGCAGAATTGCTTCGAATTGTCGGAGAAGATTCAGCGCATGCTCAGTGCTGGTAATGTTTTCGAAACTTGCGTTGATGAAACCTTGCAGGGCCGTTTCTAGCTCAGCCACATTGACATTGAACTCCAAAAAGTCTCTGTCAAACGAGTTTTTGACATAGTCGAGAAGATCGTAGGGTTTGCGCTTGAATTCATCCACAATTTGTATGAAGCTTTTGATTAGATTGTCCATCCCTTCGATTTCGTGATTTGCAAGAGTACTGAACTGCTGTATGGTGGTAAACATATCAATGAGTTTTTGTACTCTCTTGCAGAACAAGTCAAACTTTCCAAAAATTTCGCTTTCATTGAAATCAAATTGCTTGACCTGCAGATAAGTCAATCGCAGCAGAGCATGACAGATGTTACTTTACTTTAGGCTGTGTCATTAGCTTCTCCTTTGTGACACGATACTGCTCCTGATAAGCGTCATTAAGCTTCAATGCCCATTCCAGATTTCTTAGCAACGTGTCCACTGGTTGATCCCATAGTTTCCCAGCACTGGTAATGTTGGTTTTGCAGTTCTTAATCATCTGATTGGTAATCTTGCAGAACAGCATTGTCATGCGTTCATTTGTACTGTAGTAACTGTTCCATAGCGTCAGCACACAAGTCCAAACTGAAAGCTCACTTACCGAGCAATCGTGAGCATCATCTTGACATTGTTCATCAAACCAGGCAAGGCTTCGATGATTTGCTCTGGAGTACCATGGTACAGAGGATCGGTGTACTTTTCAAGAGTCGCAAGATATTTCACATTGTCTTTTGCCTCATTCAAAGAGTCGGTTATGCTATTGTCAATCGCCTTCCAACGCTTGAATATCTTGGATTTGGCCGTCGTTACTACTCCCAAGACAAACTTAGCCTCTTTGCTCTTCAATTGTTCGGCAACACTGTTAAATTTCGCCATTCTATTTCTCCAGAAAGTAAGCTCTGTATCAGGGCCTGCTTCATCTGATTCTTTTCGATTTTCTTCGCTTTCTGAGAGCAATCCCTCTGTTTGAGAGCACCAATCTTCCACAATCTGCGGACAAGATTAATTCCGCATGAGGAAACGCCTAATAAATACCTGTTCGCAGTAGGATAGAATTTCAGAGTCCATTGCTGAACGAAGATATGCTGCTTGCTTATTCTCAATTTCGCCAAGCTTCTCAGGTTTGCGCAGTTCGATGCCACCTTGCAAACTCTCTGCTGCATCTGTGAGCGTGTGCGTAAACTTTTCCAATTGCTCTTTGAACTCAGAGATTTCATCTTCAGAGCACCTCCCCCACTCTTGTGTGCTGACTGTATTCGCAAACACCTGACTCAGAACCACTTGGAAGTTATCAAGGACGCTCGGCTGGAGCTCTCCGAATGTGATCTCTGAATCTATTTTAGAAAAGTCAACAGGCTTCTCATTCTTGGTGCGTACAAAGTAAAGGAGATGCCCTCTTGCTCTTTCCTTTTCTCCGTTTGTCAGGAAAAGCTTGGGCTTTGATCCGGTAGTCACGAATTCTCCATATTCAGTTTCTGTTTCAGGAAGTTGATAGAGGAAAAGAAGCTTTGTCGGACCGTTCGCGCCAAGAAACTGACTGATCTGTTGGCTTGAGTCTCGCACAGCTGCTTCTACCGCATGGACGTCAGACTTCAGGGCTGTTTTCAACTTTGATGTTATCCATGCTGCTGCTCCCGCTCCTCCTCCCGCCGCCGCCGCCGCCGCCGCCATCCCTCGGCTTGCCAGTCGATGACCCCTCCAACGGTTTCAGACAGCACCAGGTGGAGGCCTGGACCCTCCACTATCATGAGATAAGTAGGGGTACCGTGAGTGTGGTCGAGGAGATGGAGGGGTCCCTGAGTGTCATCTCTCGGTGGCGGTTGGCGTTGCGATGACCCCTACCTACCGTACCTTCTTTACTCGTACCAATCATGTTGGAGAGACTGACCAGGGGAGTACCGGGTACTTACCAGTGGACGTTCGGATCGGTCCAAACTTTTTACTTACCGGGGCCGGATTTGAAACTTCATGACCGTACCGTACTCTCTTTTACTCAAAGGATTCACTGATGAGTCGGCAAATGGCGTGTAAGGGGAAATGCGCCTACTCGCCACTTTCATTTCGGTGGTGACGGCGAGAGCGAGGGAACAGCGACAAGGGAAGCGTGGAGATCCGCTCTCACTTCCATCATCACTGTGAGACATCATGGCGCGGCACAAGCGGCCTGCCGTCCTCCGTCCTCACAGTTCTGTTGTTGATCCTCTACTGACTGGCATGCCGGGCTCGTCGTCCCACTTTCCTCACACAGGCCTTGTGTCCCCAGAGAGCTCCTCTGACTCTGAGCCACGCTCACAGCAGGAACCCCTACGGACCGTATCGGACTCCTGACATGCTGGCAGGGCAATCTCTTTCTGCAGCGCGGACGGTCTCCTCCGCAGGATGACTTTGCCTCCTCCGCCGCTGGATCTGGAGGAGGTTCGGGGAACCAAAGACCTCGGAAGCAGGCAAGATTTCGCCGATCCATCTCCCAGCGGACACCCACCGATCAGCCGCTACCGGCGGTCAATCCTACACCCCCACCGCCCCCTCCTCAACCGGCAAATCTTTTCCCAGAGGACCCTGGCACGCAATCTAGCGCAGCGGCTTACTTTCATAATCTGCGTCCGCAAGACATGCCTTGTGGTACGTCGAATTGGCACAGAGCCCTCCCTCTCTTTGCTCAACAGGGACCACATAAGCTTCCGGCACTCCTGGCTCGTAATCCTTCCATTACAACCATCAAACACCCCAATCGCCAGACGATTGATAAATGGAAGAGTGCGCTACAGTTTACGTTAGACCTGCTACAAGGTTACCCTGACTTGCATCAAGTTGCGAGGAAGCTAAGATTATCCGGCTTGACCCTGACACTGTCGCACAGGCCAAACGGCGAGAAGAGAAAAGACAGCGAGAACCAACCCCAATCCTGCCAACTGCTGTCCCCCAAACTTAACTGATACCTTCACTTAACTGCGCGCTGGACAATCCCCCCGCGCCGCCATGCCAGCGATGTCGCGGTGGCCGCCGCCGAAGGAATGAGACGCATACCGGGATGCACCCGCGATGATGGCAGCGCTGAGGACAGGGAGGCCTTGAGCTGACGAAAGATCCTGGACCGGATGCGTTTGCAAGTCGGATCACCTGAGACGTCTTGCGAGGCCGAGAGACCATCCAGCGCTGCCGTTTCCTTGTTCGCCGAGCGATCCGCCAGCCACCACAGAAAGCGCAACGCATCGTCCTGCAAGAGGCCATCAGTGCTGGCGATGATGGGAAGAAAGGCCTTTGGCGGGACGTGCTGAGCATATGCATTAGGATGCCCTCGGATCTTCCGCTGTGCTGCCGCTTGCAGTTTGCTCCGAGCGAGGTCCGGTATTCCATCATTGTCAAAAACATGTGACATGCTGAAGTCCAGGATTAACCCATGCCATCCGCCTCCAGTAGCCATCAGTTGTGGAAGTTCAAAGTCCCCTACATGATGATCTTCAGGGCCATGTTGGGAAACGTTCTGCCTGGTGCCGGGTACGCCCTGCACGTGGACACGGCATCTCACTCCGGAATCTTTGATGAGGGTACTGAGGACGGCATTGCACTTCTCATGCGCATCAGTCCATAACTGGCTGCGGTGCCTGCAGGTTGCCATGTGTGTGGTCCCCCCAGGATGACGAAGAAGATGATGGCATCTATCGCAGTGCGGCGGGAGGTCAACCGGCAATCCATGAAGAAACTTGTCAGCGGCAGCCACCAAGCTGATGGGCTGCTGCTCAAAGATCCCAAGGTTTGTACTTTCCATGATCGAGTGCCAAATCGTGCGCTGAGGGGTAAACTGAGACAGAAGTTCATCAACCGGGTGGCCTGGTACTCGAAGGGGAGTAGAGAAGCTGGAGTGGTGTGCCAACAAAGATCTCTGGCGCTCAGAAAGGTGAGCCCGAATACTGCGGAACCGAGGAAACTCCGAGAGGAACTGAGCCGTGAGCTCCCGCTGGGCGGGGATGAAAAGCGCACTGCCCGACGTCCCAAATAATTCCGGCGAGGGGATCCAGCCATTGTCGCACGCCTGAGGAAGCTCCGCCAAGGAGGTGTACGCCGAGATGCCCTGCTCCATCAAGTGCCTGTGAGTGTCCAAGAAGGCAGCCAGCATGGGGACAACATCCCCAGCGTCCGCTTGCTGCGGTTGGCGGATTCGAAGCTCAGTGTCAGAATTGATCCGGTGGAAAAGTGGCGGTGTAAGTAACATCCAATGCTGGAAGATGGCAATTTCACCCGCCCATTTGAGAAACTTGGCAGTCGCCGACCAGAATGCGGTGTGGGCCACGCCCTCCTGCGGGGTGAACCCATCTCCTCCAGCACTATAAGGCAACTGACGTTTGAAATAGGCAAAGTGAAGGTCAGATGGAGGGGTGTCAGGGGCAGGTTGCAGGTCAGATAAACCCTCCTGTGCCTGGTTCTGTGGCCACTGAAACACCTTCGCCAGGAGACGGAGATTCGCGACGTCAAAGCACTTGCACTGGGCAGCTGTCAAGGCCGGGGAAATTCCACGCAAAAAGTATTGGAGGGTGGGAACGTGGGTCGTTTTCAAGAGCTGCTTGAGACCCAACGCAATGGGAAATTGTTCCAACTGGGTCAATTCAGCATTGAGGGCATTCACCTTGGCAGTGATAAACTCTTGCTGGAAGGACTGAGATCCTATCGGGATACCTCCAAGGATGATCCCCTGGCCGCGGAAGGCAAACTGCTGCAAGCCCGGGTACCTGCTGCAAATATGCTCTTGGATGGCTTGTTGCTGACTAGATTGAAGTTCGCACCAGGACGAGGAGAATATCTGCGAATCTCTGGGTTGAATCTCCAATCCGAGCTCTTGTTTTAAAGTATCAACCAGCGATGCAGTGGCCTGTGCGGCAACTGAGAGCTTTCCAATAACAGCCATGTTATCCGCATAGGCCGGGAAGACACAGTCGGGAAAGGTCTCTGCGACTTTGACCAGGGAAGGGAAGGTGGTGTGCGCAAAGAGAGCCATCGCCAAGGGGTCCCCCTGAGAAACTCCCGTGGTGGCCGAAAAAGCCCGAGTCTCTCGCTGATGTTTCAGAAATAACTTACCTGCCTGGCCATAATATTGATGAACATACGGAAGGACACCTTGGGAAAAGTTTTCACAACGATGCTCGGGAGCAAGGAGGATGTCAAATAGCCGTTGGCGAGAGATCTCATTGAAGGCATTTCTTGCGTCGATCATGATGATTACCGTGGGATCAAAATTATCAGACTCACCTTCGCCCTGGTCTGGGAATGGGTTGGCAAAAGAATGGGGTCCTAACAGGCATTCGATGGTCTTGCAGAATTTGAGGCAACCTTCCTCCAGACCCACGCAAAATTGCAGGACCCGAGAGTGACTGAGGGTGAAGTGGCTCTCTAAAGATTTTCGGTAGAAACGACAGAAGATGCTAGACACAATCCTTCGCTCCAGGTCCCCTATCACAATAGGTCGGATTCCGCTCTTTTCCACTGACTTGGCAGCAGGAATGAATCGCCCCCCTCTGGTGTATTCCTCGAGGAAAGCGCCCGAAGGGATTCCCAGCGCGATCGGCTTCAATATGAGGTTAATGTATCGCTGTTTGTGATCATCATGCAGTCTGAGAATGTGTCGCAGGTGCTGGAACGGTCGCCAGATTGTCCTCGTACTGATTTTTAACTTAACTTTGAGTAAAGTAAGTAAAAAAAAGCAGTACGAGGGCAGAGTCGAACCCGGTACGGTTGCGTGACACTGTGCGCGGCCAGCCTCCGGGCCGGCCGGCCGGGCTTCCGGCAGGCTTCGGGGTGGCGCGGCCAGCTCCTCCTCCCCCTCCCAGCCGCGGCAAGGTTCCGAAGTTCCGACTGAGTTCCCGGCGAATCAGTCACCCGTGACTCGTGACTTCGATGGCAGTGCCGGGGATCCGATGATCATTGTGCCGCAGTCGCCGGCCTGAGCGGAGGCTCAGGCCCGGCGCCGGGCCCGGCGAACCGTTTGAACCGGGTGACCGGCGTCCCGCGGCGCCCCCCGGAGTCAGTCTGTGGCACCATAGTAGCATCCCACCGTCGACTCGGACAGCCCAGGCGCCGGGCTGCCCGGCAGGCCCGGCCCCGGGCCCGGCCGGCGGCTCCCGGGGCGGGCTCTCGCCGCGCCGCATCCGATTATGATACTCTGGCATAGTCCGGCGGATCCGCCGGCCGGGCGGCCCGGCCCCCGACGGACGGTGCGGTCGGAAGCCGCTTGGCAACTCCGAACTCAGCCTGGCAGTGCCTTGGCCGCTCCGAAGTTGATAGTAACTTGGTGACTTGCCTTGGCAACTCCGAAGTTGCCAAGCGGCAAGTTAAGTCGACAGTGACCGTTATCCCCGGAGTCCGGGCCGATCTGAGCTTCGAGTCGCGGCCGCCGGGGTCCGACGGTCCCGGCGATCACCGTCCGGTTCCGACCGGCGGCCTTGCGGCGGAGCCTTCGGAAGTTGCTGAGTTGCCAACTGAGTTGCCGACCGGGGCCCCGGCCCGGCCGGCCGCCGCGGCCGGGCCCCCGGCCGGCCCGCGCGCGGCGCTCGGCACGCACTCGGAACTCCGAAACTTGTTTTTTAAAAACTTGCGGTGGGGTGACAACATTTGAAGCACAACATGGTAGCGGGGAGGAGGTGAAGGCCGCGGGAGAAGGACTGACGCTACGAGCAAGTGAGAGGTGTGAGTGTTTGTTGTGAAGGAAGCGCTAGGCTATCAGTGGTACGCAAGAACAATGGGGATGCGAATGTGCCAGGCGTGAGGGGCCTGTAGCGAACCTCGGAGAGATGGAAGCATCGCGTGAAGCCAGAAACGTTCAGGCAGCTCCTCTGTTGAAGCAGAATGAATTTTTGAAGGCGTACATCATCAGACTAGAAAAACAACTGGAAGACTGGCTGGGATCGCATGTCCCTCCTCCAGAATCGGTGACAGAGGAAGTAGCAGAACAAGTGCCTCCCTGGTTTTCAGACTCTTCGGTCTTGTCCCCGCTATTCGAAGCTTATGACAGGAGGATTTCTGAGCTTGAAATCTCTCGGGAGAGTCTTGCAGCACAGTTGAACAGCCTTCAGCTAAAGATCAAGAGCGTTACGGCAGAGAATGAACGATATGCTGCAGAGGTGAAACAACTGACCCACTTAGCAGCAACAGCACCAGACCAAGGAGAGAGCCAGTCAAATACTACCAAGACCGTCGAGCTTGAACAGAGAAACGAGCTTCTTGTTAGTGAGAATGATATCCTCTCAGAGGAAAACGAGGTGCTGCGGAAAGAAGTATCGAAACTTAACGGGCAGGTTGCTGGCAACTTGCAACAGGTTAAGGAGCTGCAAGACACGATCGTTTCTCTCCGCAGAAAGGTCTCTGAGATGGAATTGAAAGAATCAGAAGCTGGTGCCTCCGTGTTTTACTCAGATTCCGGTCGAAGAAACAACGAGAGCCAGCGGCTGCGGATGGAGCTTGAAGTCAGCTCAAGGGAATGCAAAGTGTTGCAGGATCAAGTACAAAGCTGTCGAGATGAAATTCGAGGACATGTCGTAAGAGCAACAGATCTGAAGTCACGATATGATGATCTTCTGCGCCAACTTCAAAATGAGAAAACCAAACATGAGAATGAAATTTCGGATATAAAGAAGTCAGAATCAACATTGGTGCAAAAAGTGACGCACCTGCAACATGAACTGGAGAACATCAAGGCCAAAAGAGACGAGGAAGTCGAAAATTCCTCCATGCTCCGCCGAAATCTTGATGACACAGAGAAAATGTTGAAGAATGTCGAACAGCAGCTCTTTGAAAGTCGATCGCGTGAAGACACTCTGAAGGGTCAATGCCGAAGGTTTGAAGAAGTTGCAGATGAGCATCAGATTGCTGCAGATCAAGCTCAAGCATTGGAGCAACAGGCTCGTAGAGAAATCGCAAGGCTCTCTGACAAGCTGCAAGAAGTCCTTGTGGAGGCGCAGCAGAGGAGTGAAGAAACTGTCAGCAGCATTCGTTCTAAATACAGATCTCAAAAAGCAAATTTGCAGCAGCAGATCCGGGAGCTGGATGCTAAAGTTGCTGAATTGCAAAATGAGAATGAGAGGCTGCTGCGTGAGAGAATGTCAGCTGAAGCTGAAATTGATAAATTGCTACAAAATGGTCCGGGAGGTTGCATTTCTCGAATGCAAAAAGAGATTGAAGAATTACAACGGCAATGCAAAGACCTGGCATTGCAGAGAGATGATGCAAATCATGGCATGAAAGCAATTGAACTCTCGGCTCGCCGCAAACAGGCTCTGTGGGATCAGGCGCAGCAACAGTCATCAGCTCAGATTGAACAGCTTGAGAGGAAAGTTAAAGTTTTGCTCAGTGAAATGAACGATCTGAGGGACAACTGTGCTACTTTGCAGGCACAACTAAAAGCAACAGAGCAAAAAGAAAAGGATGGCGAGGAAGCCAGAAAACAGCAAGAGGCGGACTTTGAAGCGCGCATAGCGATGCTGAAGGAGAAGAGTCAGCAAGGTTTGCTACAACTGGAGGAGAGAGTGCGATTAGCAGAGGAATCGGAGGAAGCTTCCAAAGCCGAGCTAGCTTCGCTTCTGGACGCCCACGACAAGTTGCAATCGAAGTGGCGGGAGGCTTCCAAGGAAATGGCAACCCAAAGTCAACGACACATCCAAGAGCTTAGAGAAAATGTTTCCCGGCTGGAGGAGAGGAACACTGAACTAAACAAGAAGCTGGTCACATTGATTGCTGAGCGTGCTAATGCTTTGGCATCACTCGAGAAGAATGAGCGATCTCTTGAACGCCTTCGAATGCTGCTTGAAGCTTCCGAGAAACGAGAAAAATCAAACAAGGAGCAAATTTCTCAACTTATCAAGGGTGAGACAGAATTGCTGAAACTGAAGAAGACAACAAGTTTCGAACTGGAACGTCAGCAACTCAACGTACAAAGACTTGAGAAGGAAGTTGAGAAACTCCGCAAGGTTAAGCTTTAGCCATAATGATCTTTCGTACTGAGTGTCGGTGCAATAGGGAAGAAGCAGATTTGATATCCAAGAAGACATCGCCAATGATGATCCTGAGAAAATCGAGCAGTCTTTCCTCAACGCTAAGGTAGCTCCATTGAGTTTAATAGGGCATTGACCCACCTCAGGTGCAGTATTCACGTTTAAGGAAAAAGATGGAGGGACTTGGACGGTCTGATGGGCTCGAGCCAACGTCTCCTCTGGGTGATTTGTAACTGAAATGTATCATGAATGAAGGTTAATCAGCCATGAGCGTGAAGACAACGAGTGGAAACCCCTGACGAAATGGGAAAAAATGTTTCTGTTGAAGGATAAGGGAAAGTTTTTAGACATGATGATGCTAGGCTGGATTGTTCGCTTTGGAAGGCTCAGAGTTCACCTGCTCCATATTAAGTCCTTTTCTGCTGGGTCCTCACCACAATTACCTGCTCGTACTGGGGCTTGCTTGTGCCCGATCTTGCGCTCGAAGATAACCCCATGAAGAAGCATAGGATGCAGCAGATCACCATACTAATTGTGATCATGCTTCCCAGCCAAATAGCACATACCCACCTGTTCCATTCCGATAAGCTGATTTCTTTTACATGCACTTCATCACTCACCACATGGTGTTATACGCAAAGTTGTCCCCAACGCGACCATCAATACAAGATTCTGGAACGAAGCCCCCAAAGACCCAGAGACATCCGACTGAACGAAACAGTCAACAAGAGTCACACGTACTTTCAAGACACTCACTTATAAGCCAGATCGCCTGAAAGACAGCAACCACGTACAAGATGCAACTGACCAACGAATTTTCATGTAGCCGTAGAATCAACATAATCTGTTATCATCACAGTCACTACAGGGATAATCAACGTGCACTAATATGTACAATTGACACAAGTGGTAGTCCCAGGGCTGTTGATCCCTCTACCAACAGCCAGGTCACAACCCATCCATGACGACCAGCGAAGGCTTGCTCTGCATAGTCATTCTCAAATGTGCCGGCACTGGTGCTATTATTTCCTGATCCCGTTTCATTCTGGAGAAGTGTCATTTAAGTAAGAAAGTTTTGAGAAGTAAATCACCGCTTGCGCTAACATCGGGGAAGCAAATTTCATGTCTTTGTCAAAAAAATCGAGGAGAGTCTGTTTCTGAATGGGAATCAATTGTTTTATCAAGGAAGAAATCGATCTTCAAAACCTTCTTCACAGACTGTGTCTTAAGGACACTCGCGCCTTTTTGGATTTTGGAATTGCCTGATCCAATGGAAGAGAGCTGCAATGTGCTTGAGAATCGAAAAGGTACCAAATATTCCACTAACCGTTATTTGGTTGAGCGATGTTTCTAATTTAGTTTGAGCAAGATCCATGCAAAAGTCTGATCCATGATAAATTGCGGCATAGAGGCAAACGATCCCAGCTATGAGGTACAAACAACTGAAGCAATGCTCGTCTCCCTACAGTCTTTCATTAACAGGGCGATTCTTGTTGGATAAGCAATACCTTCTTATCCAAAAAGGCCTGCAGCCCAGGGCTTGTGCTGGCACGCTCCTGCATAGTTTCAGCAAAGAATCCGGCTTTGAATATCAAGGCAATACCTGAAATGTCTCGGAGCGCGCCATCATCCTTGCTGCATAAATTGTCATGCAAGAAAATCGTCTCCAATTCAATCGAGAGCAGAAACACGAAGTATCGAGATAAAAATAAAGAATAAATACGTTCACCACTTTAAACGCACATTTTTCATTTCATATGTGCTGAGATTTCACATCAAGACACATCAACATTGTCGTCAGCTAACAAAGCAGGAAGAGCCCGTCAATGAGCAGCGAGGAAGGCAAACCAGACACATGGGCAATCAAAGAGGCATGAGTAACACATTATCAGGTACAAGCTGATTCAGGTCTCTGCGTATCTTTCCCCTCTCTTGTCCTCTCACTACTCACCCAGCGGCATGGCCTGCCTGGCGCTCCCAAAATAGCGTCACCGAGGCCTCAGTATTTTACTCATCCACTTTTGCAAAATCCGCCTCAATGAATTGAAATACCGGGAAAAGCTCTTTACTCTTGAAAATGAAAGTTTTGCAGGAAATGTGAACACCCAGCAACTGCGGTTACTACCAAAATGAATGCGCTTGTGCCCGAGCAGTTCGCAGTTAGAAGCAACAGAAAAATGATCTCTCTGTAGCATATAGCTTGATTTCTTTCTCGCACATATCTACATAACAACTTGCTTTCATCAATACTGCCAATAGCCTTCCTGATCTCTTAAACATGATGACTACGCAGTCGACACCAACGGCGATGTGTTCGCGATTAATTCTGCCATGAACGGTATAACAGGTTACAGTACACTGTGCCGACTCATATTGCTGCTTATGCCCACAATAATTCAATGCAATCTTAACTTTTCTCGAACTGCTTCTGGTTTTGCCTCGAATTTCTCTCGTACGCCTAGTGAAACCACGGAGCATAACAACTTTACCTTGGATCCAAACAAAGTTAATCATTTCATGGAGATGGAAGTATCAGTGAATGAAGGTACCTCACTGGCTTATAATCTTTGCGTATTTGAAGGTTTGAGTTGTGGAACAGATTCGGTACATGGGCTGTTTCGAAATCAAAACAATTTGCAAGTAGTAAAGGACAGTTCTCACTCGAAAAGCGAGTTGAATTCAAGATCCTGGATGTGTGAAGTTGAAGGTTGTGGACGTCAGGTTCGAAATGTTTTCTACCTGACTTTCTTGTTTCATTATCACTTACAGGCCTCATTCGCCTTCAAAGGTGAGAGGACTGGAAAACGTTGTGGACAACACCGGTGTGTGGTTGACCTGCCCGATGTCGTCGAAATGACTCATCATAGCAAGACAAAGCATATCGATGTCCGACACAGACAGATCTGTGGATATCTTGACTGCATGTGTGTTGAATTCGAAACATTCTCGGCCTGCACATGTCATAAGCGATACTTGTAGGAAACGTGCATGTTTTGGAACTGTAGCAGACTCAAAACCAAGGTGGTGTGCGAGGCACAGGTGATTGCACTACAGCTTTTTCAAATCGTATCTCAACTCTCTGACTTCTCACAAAGAGGGCCAGATGATGTACCCATCACAAGAATGCGCTGCTGGTGCATGAGTCCACTGCGGCAAATCTAGCGACATCGCTGACTTTATGGTGCAGCCATGCAGGTTGCGAAACACATCCTGTATATGGTGATCCAACTACAAGAAAACGGTGAGAATGAGAGCAACACCAATGAATTTTAAGTGAATTGACATGATAGTTACCAGTGAGTTCTGCTTCAAGCACAAGGCGAGTCATCACATCAAACTAAACACAAAGAAGCAATCAATTGTGAGAAAGGAGCTCTATGCTGCGTCCATGCAAAGTTATGTCTGCCTATCGTTGATGACTGATCAATTCAAAAAGATTTATTGCAAAGACTACAACTACGATTCGGAGTTATGCGAAACAGCCATCCCGAATGTAATGAGCGTTTCGATTTCATCGATGCGCGTGACCGTACCCACAATCTGTCAGGTCAAACAAGTCTCTGCCGGTGAAGCCTGCGATCGGTATATTTTAAGTTCTTGAATTGTTGGCATGCCAATGATAAAATATCTTGTGCAGAGTAAGCTTTCAATTCCTACACTTCGAAGATTGAAAAACGTTGCAGATCAGAGGATTTGCAACAAGCCAGCTGCAAGAATTTGAAAGGAATATCTGGAGTCCAATGTTTTTTGCACAAAACACCAGCACTGCGGCTTCATACCTCTTCAACAATCTTCCATATGCCAAAGGCAAACTTGCTTTGTTCATTCATGGTTGACTCAGTGATCAATTTATTTTATTTGCGGCAGGTGGATGGGCGATGCCTTTGAGTCACTCGTATTCTTAACCATGGCTCGGATCGGATGGTAACTAGTAAATGAAACGACTTGGCAAGGCGCAGGGCAAGATGGCGGGCGGCCCTCGGACTGACACTGTCACTCTTCAAGCCTTCCGACGTCGGAGGGCCAGAGCGGCCTCCGGGAGCCTGAGTGACGGGCCGCGCCGGCCCGGTCGGACTCAGCCGGCGGGTCGCCGGCGCCCGGCATCCGAGGCACGAGTCACGCATGGCCTGCCCGGCCCGGGCGGCCACAGCCCAGTCACTAGTACGTCCGACCGACCGTATCGGACGGTCCGAGTGACTCCGGCAGTGCCTGACTGGCTTCCTCGCTAGTGAAGGCAGCATCTTGTCACTTATATGCGACTGATCTAAATATTTTACTGCCTCGGTGATCGGACGAGCACAGCTGCCCCTCCCCTCCCACAATCCTGTTTCTCGCCTCCCAGACTATCTCTCAATCTCGCTGCTCCTCTGCTCCGCCCTCTACCTCCCTCGTCTCAAGCGCTCAACAAGACATCCTCAGCTGTCCCTGACCTATTCTTACCAAGTTCTACTGACGACCCTTTCTCTCACTCATTTCCGTCGCATCGAACGTCTCAACAAAATCCAGTGCCGCATCTCGAGTAAGACCCGAAAGAGAGTCATAGAAAAACAGATCATGCGCTCTTGGGCGAGATCAGAAAAGAATGACCTGCACAGGAGAAACGTTTAGATGGGAAAGCAGCTTGATACGCTGAGGTCGGAGAAAGCAAAAACCTGAAGTCCCAAACAGGTCCTGGACTGATTTTTTTCTAAAAGTCCAAAAGAGCAAGATCAAGAAATGCAAACAGTTGACGCTGATTCTGTTGATACAGAGAGATCGATGGGAACACATGAATCAGAAAAAAAAGCGCAGGGTAAGAAGCCTTTTCTTAGCACTTTAAAAGATTTCCTCGATGATCCATGGATGGCTTGGTACTTCTTGTTCATGTCAATCGTCGCCGTTGTCACGCAAATCTCTCTTCGTTTCTTTCAAGAATTCCAAACCTCAAAATCCTCGCATCGCAATTCTATTTCAAGCAGAAAACCTCAGGAAGAATCGCAAAACACAGCCATGAATCCAAAAGAAGGACTGAATTTCGCAAAGATCTGGTTTGGTCTTTTCCGCAAACATGATCAAATAAAGGTTCCTGAGGATGATCCTTTGGCATCTGGACAATGTGGCCCATTCGATGAAGTCTGTGCATCGCGCCTGTTGGATTATTCAGATGCTGTGTCTTACAATGCAGACACTCACACATTCTATACTATTCTCAAGGACTACATGCTGTATGTTTTGTATTTCTTCGCTCTCTATGCAGTGGCTCATACGAGATTAAAAAGATACCAGCGTGCAAATCAGAACAAGAAGGTTTTGCAGAGAAACGCTGCAGCAAAGAGGCAACCTGATGACTTGGATTGGGATGAATCTTCACAAGACGATGAGACACTTCCTTTTGCTTTGTGTACATTTACCGTTTGTGTATCCTTAGGCTCGGTACTTTTGGTTCCTCTTACAATCTTCGATGCGCTTTTGAGGAAATATGTTTCTGGTGAAGACATGTATGGAGGATTGGGGTCAACAAACGTGGGAGTTCTCTGGGAGCTTTTGTTTTCTCTCTCGAATATCTGTCATTACCTCATTATACCGTTTTCGTTCCTGTACATTGAAAGTGAGGGATTTGGAGGCTCAAGAGGTAGGAGCTTTCTTTCGCGGTTACGCGAGACGACGATGACTCTTGTCTTGGTACTGATTCTCATGTGGCTCCTGTTGTATATTCTGCAAAAGCTCAGTGTACTTCACGTTGAGCGACTAGCATTTTCCTACCTCTTAACTGCTTCGATTGGTTCTTGTATTTTTCTCGTTTCCGCTCCGTTTGGATTTGAGCGACTTATCTACTACGCTGTACAAAAAGTCAATCTTGACTTGATGAAAGATGGCAGCGAAACAGTTGTTGCCCAATTGGAGCGAGAGTCGATGATATGGAGAAACGAAATAGCAGATGATCAGTCACAAGTACAAAACGCAGATCCGTACGCAACAAACAAAAATGTGAAACCATTCTTCAATACCCTTCTCAACAATGTAAGTTCCGTTGTTATCAAAGATGATTCATTCTGACCCTCGACCCGAAGCTGCAGAATTTTCTTGGTATCGCGATCTCTTTGATAATGCCAAGTACAGTTTTGTTACGTGTACTAATATTTCAGGTCATCTTCTTTTTCCTTGACGCAGATTTGCTCACTTTGGTTTTGGCTTTCAGTTCTTGGGAATGACATCACATCTACCTCTATCTTTGCTCATGTCGATGCGAGCATCAAAAATCTCACAGAACACTTTCTTCATCGATGCCATCAGTGCAGTCTATGACATGACATTGGTCTGGTATGTTTGGCGGGTAGGTGGAAGCCATGCAAAACATGAATTTTAATACTTGTGCAAGGCGACATGGCATGGGCTTCAGAATGTTCCTTATGTCTCGGATCTATGTTTTCCCAGCCGAGCGCGGGGGTTGACTATCCGGGAACTATGCGTTCATTGCTTGCTTTATCTTTGTGTTGGAACAAGGTGAGCGGCTCATCTGCTAAAATGTTGGTTACTCAACGGCATCTATCAGTTTCCCTCTCATTGCTTGTACATTGGGTCTTTCTCACATAGAGCATGTAAGGAACAACTCTGCTACAGGTACTTTTTTTGTTTGTGTTGGAATGATAACCATAAATACTTTCAGAGTACTTTCAGCGTCATTCAGTCCGCACAGTCTTTAATGTCGTATTTATGGCAGCATCTTGTTGGTAAGTCCTAGACACTCACCTGACCGCTTTTTGACTTTGATTTTTGAAAGGGCGCTTGTTGTTGCAATTCGATCCTACTTCTCAGTGGTATTGTGACTTTGATACGCATTTCCTTGACCAATTCACGATCTGCAGCGTAAACGAGGAGCGATACATTTGAAAATGCTGTTTTGATTTTAGTCAAAAATTGTTTGTCAACCGCAAAAGGGCTTCAAGTTGTGAAATAATAGCTTTGTACTGTTCTTGTAAATGTGGAGTTATCATGAAGTAAAATCTGTCATGGTAGACTGAAATCTGGGTATATTGTCAACTCAGGGTGATCTGTTATTCCTGCAGTGTGTGACATTATCGTCTGGAAATACATGCACTAGAAAGGAAGAGCGATCGGAAATCAGGTCAATAATGATATATTGCATGTTAGAGCTATGAATTATACTTTTTCCTTCTTAAACCTTTTACCCTCCGTCTCAATCTGGGAAAGACATCAATTCAACTTTGAAGATGAAAAGGTTGTGAAGGCAACCTTCTCGTGGATGGCATTCACGATCTCGTTGCCATCTGTCGAGATGCTAAAGTCTCCGATATCCTACCACTGAGGCGTAAGACTCGTCACATTGATTTGTTCCTCCACGTTCACCTGCAGCCATGATGGCTTTCCATTCGCAGAGTCTTTCAAAGGATTTTTCTGATAGTGATCTGGCACAAACCAGAAATATGCGGCTCCACCTCCAAATGTTACTGTCATCCACAATAGCAGCAATATTGGGTTCCCCGTAGGAAGGAGGAACTGCGAAGTCGTCAACCCAGTTGGAGAATAGCAAGGAGAAATGACCGATCCAGAAACTGATATGAGGAGGAAAACGAGAGCGGCATAGGTCCGTGTGCACGACCACACAACGAACATGAAGAATGTGGCTGGCAATCATCGTCAGGAAACGAAAAGAACTTTCAAATCTGGACAGATCACACCTATGCAAATGGAAGCAAACAAAGCGCCAAACGAGACGATCAGCAAGCAAGGTGCCGACGGTAAACCTGCGTACAATCAAGCATTTGAAGTTCACAACAGCAATGATAATCATACCAACGACATTCAGAATATCACAAAGAGGGTAAAACAAGCAAGCGAGAGAGATGAAGATAAGAAGCATAGAAAGAATCGACAAGTAGGGCCTGAATCTCTGCAGACAGTATCTGCATGTCAGCAAGTTCCTACAACAACTGCGTTGATGACGAACCATTGTTGCATTCTCCTCCTTGTTCAAGTCGTCGATGTTCTTTCCCTCCATCATATAGTTAAGACTGACAAGCTTTGCTCTGAAATCCTGCCCAAACTTGTAAAAGGAACAAAGACTTCGGTTATAGGATATTGTTGTTTTACCTGGTCTCGTACAACTAACACAGCCTGTATTTCGCTATACAGGAACAATAGCAGCCCAAGAATGAACAAGATGATTCCAATGGTAATCCATGTAGCAATGCCTGCTGCAAATTCCGGATGCGCCTCCTATGTCAAAACAAATTTCAACGTTGTGCTTGAAATGACATAAATTGCATGGAGCTTCCAAGCAAAGACGATATATCAAAGGTTGGAAGTTATCAGACAATCGTACTGTTCGCTTACCTGATACTCCACAACATTTGCTATCGCTTGTCGGGGGTTGAATGGTGGAGGGGCGGTAGGTAGCTCAGCTTGCTGCAGAGACATGCGTCATCAAAGGACAGGGGTATTCCATTGCAACAGGTCTTACCCCCGTTGATTCATTAGATTCACTAGTTGCTTCGCTTGCTTCCTCTGTCGCCTAAACAGTTCGTTAAGTTCTGTACCTTCACACATATTCTTGCCACACCAATGTTGCCCGACATAGAATTAAAAAAACAACGACGATCTGTGTCAATCTTTTCATCTGTGCAAAGTGTAAGATACCTGACTTCAACAGATGACGATCAGATCTATGAAATATGTCTTTTTCAATTTCAGTGTTGTTCGCCTAAAGCTAGCCTGTCGTTTAGTGCGCCCGAAACAAAGACGTACTCAACACAAAAATCTTCTCACTGTGACCATTTCTCTTGCATTGCTCAAGCTTCAAATCACGTCTGGGCCAACCACATAATGTATATTCTAGTCTTTCTCTCTCATGCTCCTTTTGATCATCAATACTGCCAGGCGTTGTGACTCGTCTTCTCAGTCTGCTCCATATCAATCATTCCCAAAATTCTGCCTCTTCACCCACTGAGCCGTTACACCCTGAAAACGGCTTAGTGTTTTACAGGGTTTAGTCTTTCGGGGACACAGGGCCCCTTGAGGGGCCCAAATCCCCCAAAAGGGCCCTGATTTGAAGACCCTCATACAGCATCTTCCGAAAGGGAGAGGGCGCGAAAATGGTGGCATACGAAAGAGGAGGACGGGCACGTTCCGTTGATGAAAACCGCACAAGAAGAGACCCATCCATTGCTGAGATAAGACGAAATCGCCGTTTTGTTATCGAAAAGCATGTGCTGCAAACAATTTATGAAAGTGCTTGCAGCCATGTCGCGCAGTGTGAAACGGTTGTATGAAGGACTAGAATTGAATCATAGGTACTTAATCGAACTTCAGATAGTGAAAACTGGATCATCAGAGCTATATTCATTGTTTTTTGTGCGATCGAAATCAGCAAATTCACAAAATTTGCTTTTTTCTGCATATTTTGATGCGCGTTTGGGGAAGATTTTACGGGGAGCGGTGAAGTCTGGGTTGTTTTGGTATTTCATGGACACCCCTCCAATAGACAGTTGGTTTGGAGACGGCTTGAGCTGCCGTGCCGGAGGAATCTTCGAGTTTGTGCTGTGGAAGGAAATTCACAATTTGCTATGTAGTCCTCGCTAGTCCTGTCATGCTCATCAAGTAAGCATCTAAAAACGAGTTGAACCTAACGTCAGTGTCATGACGATATCGTCTCCTCGACAATCGCAAGGATTTTTTCGATGACAAGTTCAACATTGAGAACTATGGATGCCCACTTCAACCGTCAATGAATGTGGTACTTGGAAGCCTTTGTTTACACATGGATAATTCATATTGAGGTGAGAATATGATGCTTTCATGGGCTCGCGAATGTTGGTTTTGATACGAGTGCAGGAATGTTGGAACTGAGGTTTGCCCAGGCATTTCATGTAGGAAACTCCAGTTGTTCACTCGGATATTCATTGCTCGACTCATGGAACTCGATTTAGGCAACTGGAACCCAGTTCGTATCTGAAAGAAAGCTGCTATCACAGCAAACATGGAGAAAATACTCCATTTGCACGCTTGAATTTCGAACAGTATTCTTAGGGTTTAGGGTTTAGGGTGCAGAAGAAGTAGAGAGTAGAAAGACGCCTCAGAAGCAGGGTTCGCATTGTAGGCCGTGTACTCCCAGTGCTCGAGCGCCTCTTTAGACTAGGATCAAATCATTGCAAACGCCCACAACGAGGCCGAGCAACATTCTAGCATTCTAATAAACTCACATAATAATAATAATAATAAAAATAATAATAATAATAATAGGGTTTAGGGTTTAGGGTTTAGGGTTTAGGGTTTAGGGTTTAGGCCGGTTATTTCAGGCACCATGGCTGCACGCGTGGTGTACGGGAAGCTGCCAGGGCGCCAAGGAAGCTGCAAGCGAGAGGTTTGTATACTTCAAATAGCTTTCTAAGTATGGTTCTTCAGTATGATGAAAATGTTCGCAACCTGCTGTATCGGAGATCATGCCAATACACGCAGAGCGGACTTGTGGATGCCTCTGTCCTCGAAGCTGATCTCGTCGAGAGGGTGAAGAGCTTCGCGAAGCGTAATCCGAACAGCAGGACAGCCCAGGCTTGCAAGGCTGTGGAGGGATGCCCCCCCGACGCTATCGCAGA